CCCGGAGAGGCCGCGTGGCGTCAGCGCTGCTCTCCGAGTGGCCCGTCCAAGGCCTCGCGGCCAGGCCCCCAGCCCAGGGTCCGGCTGACTCGCCGCAGCCTTCTCCCGTGGGCGCTGCGGCGGCGCCTCCCGCCTCCCCGCGGCCGGTGTCCACGGCCCCCACGCCCCGGGGTCTGGCCGGCGTGCCCGGGGCTTCCTCGGGGTGTGAAGTGTTGGCGCCCCGCTGGGCCCTGGACTCGGCTGTCCAGCCGCTGACCACCCGGCGCCCCGCACCCCCCTACCCTGCGGAGTCTGAGGGGTGCAGTGGGACCCCTCCCCCGGAGGGGAGTGTCGGTTGTGTCATCAGTGGCCTCACCACTGCCCACACTCTGCGTCGGGCCAGGGGGCTCTGCCTTGCGGCTGGCCCTGGGCCTTGGTCCTGTGCCCACTGGGCTCCTGCCTCTCGGGCTGGCGTGGCCTGGGGTGGCCTCTTGCTCATCCTCATTCAAGAGGTGGCCCCGGGTGGCGCTGGGGGTGGGGGACAGGGGTGGGGGCCACCGCAGGCTGGGCAGAGCCTCCGTGGGCCTGAGTCACTGCTGAGGCACGGCTCTGACTGGGGGCAGGTCCTGAGGGTTCCTCGGCTCCCGGCTGTCCGGCTCTCCATGCCCCCCACGAACAGAAGGTCAAGCCGTCCCGCTGGGCCCGTCCTGGCTACCGCTGGACACAGTGAACTGGGAGCTTCTGTCTGCTTTTATTCTCCCTCCATCCTCTGGGATATCTGTGCTCTGTGTCCCTGCCTGTCCCTGCAAATCACAGCGTGGCCAGCGGGGGCCACAGGGGTGCAGGGACCTGGCTCCCCCTCCCTGCTGGGGTTTGTCTCTTTTTTCCTTTTTTTCTTTTTGGGTCATACCCAGAGATGCTTGGGCTGGAGCGATAACAGAGTGGGTAGGGCGTTTGCCTTGCACGCAGCTGACCCAGCTGACCCAGGTTCGATTCCTCCGCCCCTCTCGGAGAGCCCGGCAAACTACCGAGAGTATCTCGCCCGCACGGCAGAGCCTGGCAAGCTCCCCGAGACGTATTCGATATGCCAAACACAGTAACAAGTGTCACAGTGGAGATGTCACTGGGCCCGCTCAAGCAAATCGATGAACAACGAGAGGACAGGACAGGGCAGGACAGGACCCAGCGATGCTCAGGGCTTACTCCTGGCTCTGCACTCAGGAATTACTCCTGGCGATGCTCAGGGGACCATATGGGATGCTGGGAATCGAACCCAGGTCAGCCGTGTGCAAGGCAAACGCCCTCCCTGCTGTGCCATTGCTCCGGTCCCTGGCTGTGAGGTGACCTCACGCCTGGTTGCGGTGTCCCAAGATGGTCACTGTGGGGTCCGAGGGCAGTGCCACAGGAAACATACTCAGACATAGGCCAGCACCCGAACCCCAGGCGAGGCAAGCACCCAGCACCCGGCGCCATCCTAAGGTGCACCTACTTCCTTTGCTCTCTTTTTAGCTCAGAGTCTGCCCCCTTTGCTCTGGTGCTGCACCCCTGCTCACTGGGGCTCCCACATGCCCTTGTGGTGCTCAGGGTCACACTCTTTTTGTGGTGCTCACACACAGAGGTAAGGCTGGAAATCTCCTGCGGCACTGGGAATTGCAGACAGTAGGGGTGTCAGGACCGTGTGGGGCGCATGTGGGAGACCAGGGATTTGAACTCGTGACCAGATGCTTTCAGGCATGTGCTCTGTTCCTCCAGGCCCTGTAGAACTTTCTTCGAGATTTTGTACAGGACTGGAGAGGTGGCACAGCAGGGAAGGTGCTTGTCTTGGAAGCGGCTGAGTCTGGTTCCAGCCTCCACAGCCCCTGAGAACCACCAGGAATGATCCCTGAGCACAGTCAAGTGTGGACCAAAACCCCCATTCACAAAAAAAAGAAGATATTTGGAGAGCAGGTCTGCCAGTGATGAAAACTTCAGCTCTTGTTTTTCCCAAGAAGTCTTTATTTCTCTTGACAGTTACGGAATGTTTCCAGTCCCAGAGACCCAGGGGGCCTAGCTGACCTCCACAGGACCCTGGGCCCCACCCTCCACTCCCCTGCACAGCAGCGACCATGGCTTAGTCACCCCAACCTGGCGATTCTCTAGCTAAGCTGTGTTTTCCTTTCTGGCTTTTTTTTACGATTTCCTCGTTGCCTTTGTTTTCCTGCAGTTTGGCTGCATTGCTCCGCGGGGTAGATATTTGGGTGTTTATCCTGTTCTACTTTTTTTCAATTCCAAGTTTGTCTGTTTGATGTCTATCCATCATTTCTTTTAGAAGACCTTTATTGTCCTTTCAAATATTTTTCCTCCTCCTCTCTCTCTCTCTCTCTCTCTCTCCCTCCCTCCCTTTCCCCTGACTTTCTAATGATGTAATGACAATGACGTCTGTGCTGTTACACCTCTTGAGTCTGTCCCAAGTTCTGGGATGTTCTGTTCTGTTTGGTTGCTGTTCCTGTTTTTGTTTTTCGTTTTGTTTTTCGACTCTTTTCCCTTCTCCGTACAGCGGCCCGGAAAGTTGGCATGTGGTCAGGCCTGCAGCCGTGTCCCGTGGCCATACCCAGGCTACTGATAAAGTCATCACAAGCTCTCTCTCTGTTTCAGTTACTGTTGCCTAATTCTACCATAAACAATTTTTCTTCACATTCTCATCTGTGTCTCTCATCTGTTCTCGCTTGCTGTCAGCTTTTCCTGTAAGGATATTTCGTGTGTGAATCGGTCACTTTCCAGGATGACGATTCCACATTCTGGGTCTTACCTGGGTCTCCGTCTCTCCTCTGGGCATTTTTGATGCTTTATCATTTTTTTTTGAGTCTGTTTTATTCTGTTTGGGGGGCCATATGTGGTGGTACTCAGGGACCAGGCGGCGCTGGGGATTGAACCTGCATTTTCTGCCCAATTATCCCTTCTAGCCCCCTCCCGACTCTGGCCTTGTCATTTCCTCCAAAGCCAGATGTGATGTCCAGCTGGCGGGGATCAGAGGTGACGAGACCTTTCCGTGACATGTTCGCCTCAGCTGGAGGGCCGCTGGCTTCTTGGCATCAGGACTGTGTATTTGCTGGTCTTGCCGGCTATTGCTTTCTCTTCCAGCTGACCCCAGCCAGTGTGGCTTACAGCTGTGACCACCTGTGTGTCAGGAATCGGAAGGAGAAATTCTGTAAACGTACGTCTGGGCCGTGACATTTCCTGTGGTCCCTTAACTGTCCACTACTTGGGTAAGATAGGCAGCTGGTATTGGACATTAATTTAATTGATTTTTTTTTTTGGCTTTTTAGCTCACACCCGGCAATGCTCAGGGGTTACTCCTGCCTCTGCACTCAGGATTGACTCCTGGCAGTCCTCAGGGGACCCTATAGGATCCTGGGGATCGAACCCAGGTTGGCTGCATGCAAGACAAATGCCCTCCCCACTGTACTATCACTCTGGCACCATAATTGATTTCCTTAAGGGTTTCTTAGAGTATCCATCATCCATTTATTCCTTTACTCCCTTTTTTGTTTTGTGATTTTGGGTCACACCTTGTGGTACTCAGGCGGTACTCCTGGCTCTGTGCTCAGGGGCCAATCCCCCTGGAAGTGCCTGGTGGACACTGTGTGGTGCCAGAGCTCAAACCAATATCGTGGTCAGAGCCACATGCTAAGTAATTTTTTGTTCGGGCCGAGCGATAGTACAGTGAGGAGGGCGTTTTTCTTGTACGCTGCCAACCTGGATTCAATCAATGACATATGGTCCCCCAAGCACCACCAGAAGTGACTCCTGAGTGCAGAGCCAAGAGGAACCCCTGAGCATCGCCAGGTGTGGCCCAAAAAGCCCAAATTAAAAGTTATTTTTTGTTTGTGTTTTAGGCTCAGGGCTGACGTCCTGGCTCTGTGCTCAGGGATCACTCCGGGGGTCTGGGGGGAGTGTTTGGGGTGCTGGGTTGAATCTGGGTCAGCTGCATGCAAGAAAGCGCCTGGTCCTCCGTCCTATTGCACTGGCCCCAGCAGACACATGCTAGACAAGCGCCTTTGCTTCTGCTCTGTCTCTCGGTCCCTTGTCATTAATTAAAAGCAAAACCAAAAACAAACAAACCAAAAAAAAAAAAACCCACTCTCGGCAGTCAAGGCAGTCATTTCTTCTTCTTCTTCTTCTTCTTCTTCTTCTTCTTCTTCTTCTTCTTCTTCTTCTTCTTCTTCTTCTTCTTCTTCTTCTTCTTCTTCTTCTTCTTCTCCTTCTCCTTCTCCTTCTCCTTCTTTTCTTCTCCTCCTCCTCTCTCCCCTCCCCTCCTCCTCCTTTTCCTCCTCCTCTTCTTCCTCCTCCTCCTCCTCTTCCTCCTTCTCCTCTCCTCCTCTTCCCCCTCCTCTTCCTTCTCTTCCTCCTCTTCTTCCTCTTCCTTCTCCTCTTCCTTATCTCCCTCCTCCTCCTCCTCCTTCTATGCTTCTTCCTCCTCCTCTGCCTCCTCTTCATTTTCCTCCTCTTCCTCCTTCTCTTCCTCCTCCTCCTCCTAGTCCTCTTCCTCCTCCTCTTCCTCCTCTTTCTCCTCCACTTCCTCCTCTTCCTCCTCTTCTTCCTCCTCTTCCTCCTCCACTTCCTCCTCCTCCTCTTTCTCCTCCTCTTCCTTCTCCTCTTCCTCCTCCTCCTCCTAGTCATTCTCTTTCTCCTTCTCCTCTTCCTCCTCCTCCTCCTCCCCCTCCCCTTTGGGCACTGTGGTCTGCACGGGTTCGCAGTGCAGGTCCTGAAAGGGTACACCCGATACCCGCCCCCCTTGACCTGCTTTCAGCATCAGTTCTTGTCCAGAGTGACCCTCCTCGACCCTCCCACTGTCACAGTGACCCCGTTTTCCAGAGTCCCGGCGAGTGCCCCCCGCCGCGGCCGTGCCCGGGGCGGGCTGCGTGTGGGAGGGTCGGCGCTGGCCGGGCGGGAGGGAGCCGAGGTGGGGCGCCCCTTCCTTCCCGGCAGGGGCGGGCGCGGGGCGCGGCCGGCGGCTCCCCGGGGTGCGCGGCGGCGGGCGCGCGCGGCATGGCGGGGCGCGGGGCCGGGGCGCTGCTGGCGCTGCTGGCGCTGCGGGCGCTGGGCGCGGCTGGGCACCCGCAGTGCCTGGACTTCAGGCCGCCGTTCCGGCCGCCGCGGCCGCTGCGCTTCTGCGCGCAGTACTCGGCCTTCGGCTGCTGCACCCCCGAGCGCGACGAGGCGCTGGCCGGCCGCTTCGGGGCCCTGGCGGCGCGCGTGGACGCCGCCCAGTGGGCAGCCTGCGCGGGCTACGCGCTCGACCTGCTGTGCCAGGTGAGTTGCGCCGGGCAGGTGGCCCGCGGGGCGCCCCGGCTCTGGCGGTCCGGCTCGGCCCGGTGCGGAGCTCTGTGAGCTGGGGGGAGGGGGTTGGGGGCGGGGCGGGGGGCCTCTGGGCCTCAGTTTACCTGTGGGCAGAGAAGCCCGCGCTCCCGCAGTTTGGGGCCGCTGGCATGGATGGGCTCTCCACCCCCACCCACCCCCTGTTGGGTACCCAAGGGGACCTTATAGACGAGCTGGCCTGGGGGTGTCCGTGGCGTTGGGGGACGCAGCTACCTGGGACTGTCCCTCACCCCAGGTCTGAGCCCCCTCCAGGAAGGCTCTGCCCTTCAGGGTCCCCCCTGGTGAACCCCCCCAGTTGGAGGGTCCCCTGAGGCAGAGTCTGCTGCTGCCCTGGGCTGTGGGAGGGGGTCTCCATCACTCATGGGGGGCGCTCGGGGCTGGCGTGGATTCGGACACCTTAGCCCAGGTCCTGGCGGTCTGATCCTGGGAAGGCCTCTCTGCTTCCGTGGCACCAAAGTCGGGGTGGTCAGCGCGCCCCTCCCCGGTGCCCACACTGACCAAATGACACATGCCTGGGTTTGGCGGGAGATTCCAGTGGGGCTTTCTCTCTTGCCCATGGGAAGGGGCAGGGTGGGGGTGGAGGGGCCAATCAGAGAAAGCCAGAGAGGGGGTGCTTGGGGGCCTGTTCTGCCGCTTGGTGGCCACACTCTGGGCCCGGGGTGCAATGCGGGGTGATGGGGACCCTCCTGTGTGTGCATGAGTGTTTCTCGTGGCAGGAGAATCGGAAAGTTCCTGGACTGGGAACCCGCTGGGTGCAGTCCCAGAGCCGCTTCCTGAATTTCCTGAGCACTTACTCTGTGCCAGGCTCGGTGGGCAGCTGGGGTGGGAGATCCCCGCGGAGCTACCCTGGCCTTGAGCAGCCTTGAGTGTGTGTGTGTGTGGGGGGGAGGGCTGGTCCCTCTCCCCAGGCGTCTGGGAGTGACTTCATGTCTGGACAGAGCCTGGATGGGCAGCCCAGGCTCCATGACGCTTTCCTGGTGGGTTGGCGCTGGCAGCTGTGCTGGGACCACCCCAGAGTCATTGGGCTCTGCTGAGTCCTAGCCGCCAGGGTCTCCGAAGAACAGAGGACAGAGGGGGCTGGGAAGCCCCCTGCACTGTGATTCCCTCGAATCCCGCCCCTGCCTGGTACCCAGGATGTTCCCAACCCCCAGGTGCTTCTTAGCTGGAAGGTGCTTGTGCAGAGTCCTGTGGGGGACTCCCGAGCACTGCTCAGGGTTCCCATTGGAGATCCCCGGCCAGCTGCACCCGGGCTTCCATGTCCAGGCCTTCGGAGGGAACACTGCTGGACCTTTGTGCCAGGGGCCCCCAGGGCTCACAGGTGGGGCCGGGACCCCCCAGGTCTGGCATCTGTCATACCCCACCCTCAGGGCCTTCTCCATACTCTCCCAGCTCCAGTGCGGGGGCCCGTGCCCCCGGGGCTGCCATGAGATCTCTGCCGGGATCTTCCTGCTGACCACTGCCCTTCACAGCCCTGAGGCCCCGAGGCCACGCTGCTTCCAGAACCTCCAGGCAGGGTCCTCTGCAGGCCGGGCTGGGCAGGCACTGCCCCAGGGCCTAAGGGGCTCACGGGAAGTCCCCTGCCCAGCGTCAAATTCCCCCTTGCTCTGTCAGGACAGAGACGTGGGTTATTTCCAGGAAGCACCAAAGACTTCCCCAGGCCGACTAACATTGGGGTGGGGGATGCCTTGGGAGAATCCCAGGACGTTCTGGTTGGACAAGCCTGGGGGGGCTTCCTGGAAGAGGGAGCCTGGCATGGCCTCTTCTGAGTCCGTCTGTCTGAGCGATAGTCCAGCAGGTGCAACACAACCTCACTGGCCATGCTCTGAACACAGACCTTAAGGACACAGACCCAGGGCTGGAGCAATAGCACAGTGGGTAGGGCGTTTGCCTTGCATGCGGACAAATCGGGTTCGATTCCCAGCATCCCATATGGTCCCTAAGCTCAGAAGCCAGGGGGAACCCCTGTGCATTGCCGGGTGTGACCCAAAAAGCAAAAAAAAAAAAAAAAAGAACACAGACCCAGGGACACAGGCTGATGGGTGCAGCGTCCGATGGCTGACCGCCAGGCCCCCTCTGACCCCTTTGCCACACTGCCAGCAGTGACAGCCAGAGTCCACTCTCTGAAGTGTGGCGCTTGCCAGAACCCGCACAGGGTGTATGTGTGTGTGTGTGTGTGTGTGTGTGTGTGTGTGTGTGTATGATTGGAGCCGATCCTGGTTCTGAGCTCAGGACTGACCCTGGTGCTGCCCAAGGGACCACAGGCAGTGCCAGGGGTCTAATAGGGTCCCCCACTCAGTCCCTCCCCCAAGGCTCAAAGCATCCCGGCTGTAGGCGTTTGCTGGGCTCTGAGGGCGCTTTCCTGGCCTCAGTTGAGGGGGATGTTTGGTTGGTGGAAGGTGGACGGGCAGCTTAGCCTGCACACGGCCTGCTGGGCACTGCGGGACACTGAGCGGCAGCCCTGGCAGTCCCGGAGGACAGAGGTGTTAGTGCTCCCTGGGGCGATGTCGGGAATCGAACTCATGGTCTCCCGACTACCGGGCAGGTGTTCTGAGCCACTGTGCATCCCTGGGCCTCGACCTCCCTTTTCATTATTATCATTATTGTTTATTTTGGGTCACATCCTGCGATGCTCAGGGGTTCCTCCTGTCTCTGCACTCGGGAATTACTCCTGGCAGTGCTCAGGGGACCATATGGGATATCGGGGGTTGAACCCGGGTCAGCCGTGTGCAAGGCAAACACCCTCCCAGCTGTGCTCTCGTTCTGGCCCCTGACCTTCCTTCATGATGTCCCCACCTGTGCTGGACTCCCCAGAGCCCCAGTCCTGGAGGGTGCCCCCTCCAGGGGCGGCAGAGGTCCAGGGGGGTCTAGAACCCTGCCCGGGCAGGCAGTGACCCTCCTCTGGCCGGGGGAGGAGACGGCAGGAGTGGAGCCAGCTCAGCGCCGAAGGACAGCCCGGTGACCGCCGAGTGTGGTGGACAGAGGGTCATGGGCGGTGGGGAAGGTGGTGAGGGGGCGGGGATGTAGGGGTGGGGGAGCCGGGTCTCTGCGTATCACCCCAGCTGGAGCTCGTGTGTGCACGGGCAGTGGGGTCGGGCTGGCCTGGGCACAGGTCAGCCCCGCGTGAAGGTCCCAGAGCCCAGGGTGCCACTCTGATGGGCAGCAGTGGACGCCCTGTCACCCCTTCCTCCTCCTAGTTCTGGGTTGGCTTTGTCGTGCAGGGCCTGCTCGGGGCCTGGTGGACTCGCTGCTGTCCCCTGCCCCCGCCCCTGCTCCTGGTGGGAAACGTCTCTGGGACCCAGGCACGGTGTGGACGAGAGTTGTGGTGAGCGGCAGGGCCTGTCGGGTGTGAAGAACCTGGACCTACCTCACTGGGCCTGTGGCCAGATTTTTTTTTTCTTTTCTTTGTGAAGCAAGATCATTTTTTTTTCTTTATGGGTCACACCAAGCGATGCTCAGGGGTTCCTCCTGGCTCTGCACTCAGGAATTACTCCTGGCGGTGTTTGGGGGACCATATGGGATGCCGGGGGTCGAACCCAGGTCGGCCATGTGCAAGGCAAACGCCCTACCCACTATGCTATCGCTCCGGCCCCAACAAGATCATTTTTTATTGGCACTTGTTTAGAAAGATGTGAAGAGAGAGAGAGAGAGAGAGAGAGAGAGAGAGAGAGAGAGAGAGAAGGAGAGGGAGGGAGAGAGGGAGAAAGAGGGAGAGAGAGGGAAAGAGAGGGAGAGAGAGAGAAGAGAGAGGGAGAGAGAGAGAAAGGGAGAGAAAGAGGAAGGGAGAGAGAGAGGGAGAGAGGGAACAGATGGAGAGAGGAAGAGAGGGAGAGAGAGGAAGGGAGGGGGGAGAGAGAGGAGTGAGCAAGAGAGAGAGAGAGAGAGAGAGAGAGAAGTCTGTGTGTGAGAGAACCCGGTCTCCCCACATGAAAACGCGTGAATGGAGAAAGACCAGCGGGTGAGACAGACGCGGGTTCCGGGAGAGTCGTGGGCCGTGGCTGGTTTGCGTCTCTGTCCCTCCCCACCGTGCCGGGGTCACACTGATCCCTGCTTTGGAGATTGCGAAAGTGTGTGTGCACCCAGGCAGGGCCACTGACCCTCCAGCCCCGGGGCACCCTCACGGGTGGTGCCCAGCGCGGCCCGACACCCACGTCAGCGCGGCAGACGGAGGCCAGGCCAGCCGACTCCTGAGCACATGGCCACAGCCGCAGAGAGCAGACGGCGGCGGCGGCGTGACCAAAAGCCACGATCGCTGACTGGCGGAGGCCCCTGGCCGGTTGCCGGGGCTGGTGGCCAAGAGGGCAGCCTGCCAGGGTCCTGGGGGGCCGCCTCCTGGAACCCAGCCCGGGCCTGCCTGGGAGGGGCCAGGGTGCGTCTGGAGAAGTCGGCCCTCCTGGGGGGGGCACCCTGAGCCCCGTGGGGGGCAGGGCTAAGTCAGAGCCCATCTGGGCCTGGTGCTCTCCCGGGGTGGGGGGCATGGGGGGGAGGGGGACACAGAGATAAGATGTTCCAATGGGGCAGAGCCACAGGACAGCGGGAAGGGCGCTGGCCTTGCGCGCAGCCAAGTCAAACTACGGGATGTTGGATTCTGGCCATCCCATAGGGTCCCCTGAGCCCGCCAGAAGTGACCCCTGAGCACAGAGCCGGAGGGAACCCTTGAGCACAGCTGGGTGTAGCCCACAAAGCAGACAAATAAAAGGAGGAAGGGTGCTGGCAAGGTGGCAAGGTTGTACAGTGCTTGGCATGCTTGCCTGGCACACGGCGCCCACGGGTTCAGTCCTCAACGTCCGGTATGGCCCCCGGAGCACAGAGCCAGGAGTAACCCTGGAGCACCGCCGCGTGTGGCCCAAGCACCCAAAGGAAAAAGGATTACAAGAGTCCAGCTCCAAGGGCCAGCAGAGGGGACCTGAGAGATTAGGGGTGCAGAGGTGTCTGTTCTGGAGGATGGAGATGAGACGCCCCCCTCCCCCGGCCTCCCCGCGGGGTCTGCGTCCTGGCCCATGGCCTAGCTCCTTCCGCCCTGTCCACCGGAAGTCAGGTTCCCTGGAGGAGGTGATGAGGGTTTTCATCCTGCTCTGGGCGCTGAGGCCAGGCTGGGCAGACCCCCATGGGGGCGGGGGGACGGGCTGCAGGGGACAGCATGCAGACTCTCAGGGGTAAGCCCGGGGGCCCCTAGCCTGGATCTCCGGGGTGCGGTTACGGTGGACGCACACTCAGAAGTGACAAGGCCAAGGTGCAGCTTCACTTTTTGGTTTGGGGTCCCACCCAGCACCCTGAGATGTTGCTCAGGGTTCCCTCCTCCCTGCAGTGCTGGGCTGAGCTCCGGCCTCTGCATGCAAAGCCCATGTCCCAGCCCTTCCCACCAGCTCCGGCCCCTGCTGAGGGGTGGAGGGTGTTTCTTGGTTTCATCCGAGGCCGGGAGGAATGGGGGGGGGGTGGAGAAGGGGGTGGTCAGGGAAGGCTTCTTGGAGGACGTGTCCCTTGTGAAAGAATCTGCCTGAGAAGCTTTTTTTTTTGCTTTTTGGGTCACAACCGGCGATGCTCAGGGGTTACTCCTGGCTTTGCACTCAGGAATCACTCTTGGCAGTGCTCGGGGGCCCATATGGGATGCTGGGAATTGAACCCGGGTCGGCCTATTGCTCCAGCCTCAGAGAGAAGCTTTCTTTTTCCTTCTTTTCTTTTTGCTTTTGGTTTCTGGATCACACCAGGCTGCGGTCAGGATTTGCTCCTGACTCTGTGCTCAGGAATCTCTCCTGGCGGGGCTGGGGAGACCATATGGGAGGTGGGGGATCGAACCCATGCTGGTTGTACCCAAGGCAAGCGCCCTCCCCGCTGTGCTGTCTCTCGGGTCCCGGGAAAGGACTTATTGACCCCAAATGAAAGTAAGCTATTATTGGGGCCACAAAGAGGCAAGGTCACCCTGTACCCCCATATCCAGGTCTAACCACCCCCACCCCATCTCTGGCCCGCCCCCACCACCCGTTCCTGGGGACTGGGCCTCTGCATCACGGAGGTACCAGCACGTGAACTGAGGCTGTTGGCTGAGTTGAGCCCGCGGAGGAACATTCATCTAATCTCCATCACTTCAGTGTTTGTGTTGTTGCGGGGTGTGAGATGGCCTGGGAAAAATGCCAAGAATTGAACCCGGGTCAGCCACGCTGGCCGATCACTCCAGCCCCCAGGGAAAGTTTTTCAACATTCCTTATCACACTCCACTTGGCTTTATCGACCAACTTTCTCATTAGTCCAAGCCAGCGAGCGTATTTTTAGTACAGAAGCCGCTAACAATTCAAATTTTTCTCCGGGAGAGCTGGAGAGAGGTGCGTGTGGTGTCTGGTCTGCATCCAGGCTGTTCCCGGGTGTCCTCCCGCTGCATCCTTGGGGCACCTCGTCCTGCTCTCCTGCTCTCTGCTAACTCTGGGTCCCCTCATCAGGGCATCCCCGGGCAGAGGGGGCCACAGGGCTTGCCCAGGTCTGCGGGGGCTGCTTCTCCAGCATGTCTGAACTGCGTTTTGAAAGAATCTGCCTGAGAAGCTTTTTTTTTTTTGCTTTTTGGGTCACACCCAGCAATGCTCAGGGGTTACTCCTGGCTCATGTACTCAGGAATTACTCCTGGACCCTATGGGATGCTGGGAATCGAACCCGGGTCAGCCGTGTGCAAGGCAAATGCCCTACCTGCTGTGCCATCGCCCCAGCCCCTGAATGGTGTCCTTTTGTTCTTTTGGTTTATTCTGACTTTTGGACCATACCTGAGGAACTCAGTGCTTACTCCTGGCTCTGTGCTCAGGGTTTACTCCTGGTGGGGCTCAGGGGGATCTTTTATTTATTTATTTATTTATTTATTTATTTAGGGTCACACCCAGCTGTGCTCAGGGGTTCCTCCTGGCTCTGCACTCAGGAATTACTCCTGGCAGCGCTCTGGGGGGGGACCCTATGGGATGCTGGGAATCGAACCCGGGTCAGCCGTGTGCAAGGCAAACGACCTCCCCACTATGCTCTGGCTCCAGCCCGTCGTGGGGGATCTTACGGTGGTGCCTGGCATCAAACCTGGGTCAGCCTCTTACAGGGCCAGTGCCCTGACCACTGTCCTACTGGTCGGGCCGGAGCTGGGTCCTCCCTTCCAGCCTGCAGACAAGAGGGACGGGGGCGGGACTCGTGCCTGGGGCCCAGAGGGGCTCGGGGTTCGGCTCTTTAGGAGACTCGGGGCCAGCCCTGAGCGCGCTGTCCCCGCAGGAATGCTCGCCCTACGCCGCCCACCTGTACGACGCCGAGGACCCGTCCACGCCGCTGCGCTCGGTGCCCGGCCTCTGTGAGGACTACTGCCTGGACGTGTGGGCCACCTGCCGCGGCCTCTTCCGACACCTCTCGGACGACCGCGAGCTCTGGGCGCGGGAGGGCAGCCAGGCCGAGCTCTGCCGCTACCTGGCCCTGGACGACGCCGACTACTGCTACCCCAACCTGCTGGTGCAGGCGCACCTCAACGCCGACCTGGGCCAGGTGCGCGCGGACGCGCAGGGCTGCCTGCAGCTGTGCCTGGAGGAGGCGGCCCACGGGCTGCGCAACCCCGTGGCGCTGGTGCACGCGCACGACGGCACCCACCGCCTCTTCGTGGCCGAGCAGCTGGGGCTGGTGTGGGTGTACCTGCCCGACCGCGCGCGCCTGGCCGCGCCCTTCCTGAACCTCAGCCGCGCCGTGCTCACCTCGCCCTGGGAGGGCGACGAGCGCGGCTTCCTGGGGCTCGCCTTCCACCGCCAATTCCGCGACAACGGCCGCCTCTTCGTCTACTACTCCGTGGGCACCGACTTCCGCGAGCGCATCCGCATCAGCGAGTTCCGGGTCTCCGCGGAGGACGCGAATGTGGTGGACCACGAGTCTGAGAGGTGGTGGTCTCCGGGAGCCCCGCGCGGGGAGGCGAGGCTGCAGGGGTCTCGCGTGCCCCGCAGATACTGCCTCCGTCCTGGGGCACGGGCTGTCTGTCCCAGTCGGAGCCAGCGGGCACCCGTGCACTAGTCTGCGCTAGCCCGTACCACTGTGTGGAGTGTGCGCTGTACTCACCGGAAGGCCAGTATGGACCAGTATATGCTGCGCCAGTACACACCAGAACATACCCATGTACATCAGCATGCTCTATCCTGCAGCGGTGCATGCTGGCGTGCACCGGCATGCACGCACTGGCACGCACCGATTTGCACTGGTATGCACCAGCATTCACCAGCATGCTCCTGCAAGCACCAGCACTTACCAGCACTCACCAGTACACACCAGAATATACCAGCATTCACCAGTACACACCAGCACTCACCAGGACACACCAGCATGTTTCAGCATTCACTAGTACACACCAGCATTCACCAGTACACACCAGCATGTCCCAGCATTCACTAGTACACACCAGCACGTACCAGCATTCATCAGGACACACCAGCATTCACCAGTACACACCAGCATGTTTCAGCATTCACTAGTACACACCAGCATGTCCCAGCATTCACTAGTACACACCAGCACATACCAGCACTCACCAGTACACACCAGCATGTCCCAGCATTCACTAGTACACACCAGCACGTACCAGAATTCATCAGGACACACCAGCATTCACCAGTACACACCAGCATGTTTCAGCATTCACTAGTACACACCAGCATGTTTCAGCATTCACTAGTACACACCAGCATGTCCCAGCATTCACTAGTACACACCAGCACGTACCAGCACTCACCAATACACACCAGCATGTCCCAGCATTCACTAGTACACACCAGCACGTACCAGAATTCATCAGGACACACCATCATTCACCAGTACACACCAGCATGTTTCAGCATTCACTAGTACACACCAGCACTCACCAGTACACACCAGCACTCACCAGTACACACCAGCATGTTTCAGCATTCACTAGTACACACCAGCATTCCCCAGTACACACCAGCATGTCCCAGCATTCACTAGTACACACCAGCACATACCAGCACTCACCAGTACACACCAGCACTCACCAGTACACACCAGCATGTTTCAGCATTCACTAGTACACACCAGCACTCACCAGTACACACCAGCATGTCCCAGCATTCACTAGTACACACCAGCACGTACCAGCATTCACCAGTACACACCAGCATTCACCAGTACATGCCAACACTCACCAGTACACACCAGCACTTGCTAGCATTCACCAGTACCCACCAGCACTCAGCAGTACCCGCCAACACTCACCTGCAGCCCTGCCCCACGGCAGTCAGCAACACCCCCCCCAACAGAAAGCGCCCCCACACCAAGGGCACCAGCGAGCTGCACCCCCTCGTGTTCTAATATGCGTGGACGCATGAGGGGCCTATGCCCTGGGGCAGGGGTGGCTTGCAGACCGACCCGGGCGAGTGTCCTCACTCCCGTGTCCACTGGCCTGTGCTTCCTCCTCTTTGGTCCTCGCAAAACCCTGCGGTCAGAAGCATGGCCCCATGTCCGGAGGTTCAGCTCAGGGAGGTGACCGCTGACCCACACGGCTGGGGGCAGCCTCCCTGGGACCCCGGAGTGTCTGCTGCCTGAGCACAGCCCCCCTGCTGTCCTGAGTCCCCCTTCTTGTAGCGTCCACTGCCACATCCGGCCAGAGCGAGCTGGTAGGCAAGTGTGTGTGTGTGTGTGTGTGTGCATGGGCATTGTATGTGCATGTGTGTGTGAATATGTATTTGTGCATATGCGTATGTGATACGTGTGTGTTATGGGTATATGTGTGTATGTGAAATTGTGCGCGTGTGTGTGTCTCTGTGTGTCCGCCATTTCCCCCGAGGCAGTGAAGGTGGCCCAAGGCGAGTGTGGACCAGAGTCTGCACCTCCCACCCGCTCGCAGCGGGGGCCAGGGGACCCCTAAACTAGCCAGCTGGTTCCAGGTCTCTGATCGTGAAGAAGTCAAGTGTCTGGGTCCATTTCTTTTTTCCTTTTGTTTTAAAGCAGTTAATTTGGAATTTGGGAGTTGCACCCGGGATGGCCAGGGCTACCTCCGGGCTCTACTCTCAGGGGTCAGGGATGGCCCCTGGCCGGGCGGGGGACAGAGCCAAGATCAGTCAGTGGCCTCCTGCTACGGCTCCCGCCAGGTTTCAGGATTTTAAACCCCTTTGTCTGTGGTTCCGGAGACCAGAGACCACAGTCACGCACACTTGGTCCAGCCGGGGGACCACGACCACGGGAGCTGGTGCTGGGGTGAGCTCGGACCCTCGCTGGCTTGCAAGGGGCCTTGCTCCTGAGCGTCTGCCAGGCCCTTATTTTGCAGGGGGCATCCCCGGGGAGAAGCTCAGGCCGGGCCCGGCTGTGCTTGGCCGAGATGGTGATTGGTGCGTGTTTGTTTGTGGTGGGGGCTTTGCGGGCCTCACAGGATCATCCTGGAGATTGCAGAACCGGCCTCGAACCACAACGGGGGCCAGCTGCTCTTCGGCGAGGATGGCTACCTCTACATTTTCACCGGAGACGGGGGCATGGCCGGAGACCCCTTTGGCAAATTTGGAAATTCCCAAAACAAGTATGTTCCCTTTGGGGAGGGCGGGAGAGAAAGTTAAGAGGCTCACCCCACAGCCTGCTGGCCCTGCTTTAATCCCTGCACCTATGGGGCTCTCCTGAGCACTGCTAGGAGAGCAGTGCTGATCACTTCTAGGAGAGTAGCACCTGAGCACTGTTAGGAGAGCAGGACCATGAGTAGCCCTGAGCAGGCAGCTGTGTGCCCAGAGGTGCTCATGGGTGAAGCAAGGAGGAGGAGGAGGAAGAAGAGGTGGAGCAGGAGGAGAAGGAAGAGGAGGAGGAGGAAGAGGAGGAGGACGGGGGAAAGGAGGGGGGAGAGAGGGGGGAGAGCGATATGGAGAGAGAAGGTGAGAGGGAGAGAGGGAGGAGAGAAGGGAAGGATGGAGAGAGGGAGAGAGATGGAGGGAGAGAGGGAGGGAGGGCAGGGGAGGGGGGAGACGGGGCTCCCAGGGCTGCTGTGAGCTCCCCTTGCCTAAGGATCTCCCCGCCCAGAACTCCAGTTCCATCTCTGAGGCCGGGGTGGCCAGTGGAACGCAGGGTGCCCTGGCCGCAGCGGAGACTGTCCAATCTCTGTCCCCGTGTGGCTCCCCCAGGTGACAGAGAGCAAGGACCCCCACCTAGGGGTCCAGCGCGCTGCTCTCTCCCGCCCTGTGTCACTCAGGCACGTGACTGATGCCCCAGACGCACCAGTCTCCGGGTTGCAGGTGCAGAAATGAGACTCGCAAACTCTTCCCGCCTTCTGGCTGGGCACTGGGGGTCATAGGTGGGCCCAGACAGGCAGAGAAAGCGTCAAAGAGCCACGTTTCGCTCTAGGTCAGCCCACCTGCAGGCGGGACAGAGGGGCTGCACCCTAGGGCAGGGGGGCTGAGGGTTGGGGGGGGCGCGGGAAAGAGCTTGGCTTTGGGGGCTGGGCTCAGGCTACCACCCTGTGCATCTGGGATCTTCTTCTTGTTTGGGGACCACAGCCGGCTGTGCTCAGGGCTGACTCCTGCTCTGTGCCCAGCGCTCACTCCTGGTGGGGCTCCAGGGACTCTGTGGGTGCCGGGAATCGAACCTGCGTCAGCCACGTGCAAGGCCAGGGCCCCGCCTTCTGTGCTATGGCCCTGGCCCCTGGATCTGTGACCTTTCAAGCCCCACCTGTGAAATGGGGGGTCACAGTAGGACCCCCACCCTGAAAGGCTGGTTATGAGGGTGTTTTGGGTGTGCTTCTGTTTTGGAGAACACCTGGAAGTGCTCAGGGCTCACTCCGGGCTCTGTGCTGAGGGGTCCCGCCTATGGGTGTGGGGGCTCCAACCCAGAGCAGTCCCGCCCTTTGTACTCTCTCCAGCTGCTGGTTTGGGTTCGTTCGGGGCTACAGCCAGTGCTCAGGGGCTGCCTGGTGAGGGCTCAGCTGGCCACACAGTGCCAGGCACTGACCTCGGGCATGCAGCGTGCAGGTCAGCGCTCAACGCTTTGAGCCCTCTCAAAGACGCGCTGCGGGGGCTGGAGCAATAGCACAGCGGACCTAGGTTCGATTCCCAGCATCCCATAGGGTCCCCCGAGCACCGCCAGAAGTAATTCCTGAGTGCATGAACCAGGAGTAACCCCTGTGCATTGCCGGGTGTGACCCAAAAAGAAAAAACAAAAAAAGACGCGCTGCGGGTGTCAGCACAGGGACCTGGACCCACCCCTGAAGGCCTGTGGGGGGAGGGGACGGGGGACCCCCGAGGTGACTGGCCTCGCTGGGTCTGACCTGGCACCGCCCGCCGGGTGGGGGTCGCAGCGGGTCCCCAGCCGGCGCCTCCCCGACCCCCGCAGGTCGGCGCTGCTGGGCAAGGTGCTGCGCCTGGACGTGGACCCCGCGGCCCGCGACCCCCCGTACCGCATCCCGCCCGACAACCCGTTCGTGCGCGACCCCGCGGCGCGGCCCGAGGTCTACGCGCTGGGCGTGCGCAACATGTGGCGATGCTCCTTCGACCGCGGCGACCCCGCCACAGGCGCGGGCCGCGGGCGCCTCTTCTGCGGGGACGTGGGCCAGAACCGCTTCGAGGAGGTGGACCTGGTGGAGCGCGGCCGCAACTACGGGTGGCGCGCGCGGGAGGGCTTCGAGTGCTACGACCGCAGCCTGTGCGCCAACGCCTCGCTGGGTGACGCCGCGCCCCGCGCCCCCCGCCCCGCCCACCAACCCCCACGCCCCAGCCCTGCCTGACCCCCCCCCCCGCACCCCTGCCCAGCGCCCCCCACGCCCCAATCTGCCCGCTCCCCCCCCCCCCCCGCGCACCCGCCCTGCCTGTCCCCCACGCATCCCTGCCCAGCGTTCCCACACCCCGACCCTGCCCGCCGCCCCCCCCCCCGTCCCACCTTGCCCACCAACCCCTCACGCCCCAGCCCTGCCCACTCCCTGCGCCCCAGCCCTGCCTGACCCCCGCACCCCTGCCCTGCCCAGCGCCCCCCACGCCCCAACCCTGCCCGCCCCCCCTGCGCCCCACCCTGACCACCAACCCCCGCGCGCCCGCTCTGCCCGCCCCCTGCGCCCCAGCCCTGCCTGACCCCCCGCCCGCATCCCCGCCCCGCCCAGCGCCCCCATGCCCCGACCCTGCCCGCCCCACCCCAGGCCCCACCCTGCCCGCCCCCACCCTACCCACCAACCCCCCCACGCCCCAGCCCTGCCCGCCCCCACACTCCCCGCTCTGCCCAAACCCCCCACACTCGGACCCTGCCTGTCCCCCATCCCACCCACCCCCGTGCCCCTTCCCTGCCCAACGCCCCCTGCCGCCCCGCCCCCCCACCCCCGCCCTGTCCGCCCCCAGCAAGCCGGCCCTGCCCGCTCTACCTGTTCCCCTGCCCACTCCTGCTTCTACCCCTGCCTATTCTTCCCGCCTTCTCCACCAGCCTTGCCCACCCGACCAACCCTGCCCCCCCACCTCCACCTGCACCCCCGCCCCTCCCCCCACCTCCTGAGTCCCCTTCCACCCCCCCTTGCTCCTCCCTGCTCACCCTGCGACCCTTCCCTACCCACCCCTGTCAGCATCAGTGCTGCCCAGGGAACCCTGCACCTTGCTGTGTGCCATACCCGGGTCTCACCCATGACGCGCCTGGGGACCCTCTTGGCACCTGCTCCCCTCCCTGCATCCCTAAATAACGATTTCCATCGGGGACATCTCTCCCCAACTCTGCTCCCCCGGGGACCCCGACCCGGACCCCTCCGCTCCCGCACTGTGACCCTCCCCTCTCCAGATTCCTGCTCCCGTCCCCACAAACCCAGGTCCCTCGGCCTTGCCAGCCGGTCACTCCTCCCTCGGGGGCCGTTAGGGTTCCTCTTCCCCCACCCGGTCCTGCGTGGCTCTGTGGGTGGCCCGGACACCACTCACCCCGCTGTCCCCCTGCAGATGACGTGCTGCCCATCTTCGCCTACCCACACAAGCTGGGCAAGTCTGTCACGGGGGGCTACGTGTACCGCGGCTGCGAGTACCCCAACCTGAATGGACTCTACATTTTTGGAGATTTCATGAGCGGGTAAGTGGCTTGGGCTCCAAGACCCACCTTGTACCCTGACGGCTGCTGCCAGGGGCTCGGGGCCTGCCCGGGACCCCAGGAGGAGGCCAGCAGGTGCCCCTGGTGAAGGCTGGGGTCTTTCAGACTCTCATCTTCCCCCAAGACTTTGCTGGCCCCCAGTGCCCCGGGCACCGCCAGAGCCTTGCAGAGCAGCTGATGGCCTTGGCGTGGGTCGCACTCTTGTGGCTATTGGGGGCTTATGTGACGTGGGCAGGAGGGGGGCGCAGCCTCGAGAAGGGACCCTGCTGTTCCCAGTCTGTCCACTGTGTCCCCCAGCATTCCTGAGGGGACTCCTGTCCTGAGGGCTGCATGTCCCCCCACTCACACACACGCATGAACACACATGCACACACACATGCACACACGTGCATGCACACCCTGTGCATACACACATGCACACTCACATGCACATACATGTACAAACATGCACACATGCACACATGCACTCACACTCACATGCATATGCATGCACACATGCACACACACATGCGCACACACGTGCATACGCACATGCACATACACACGCACACACTCACATGCACACACTTGTACACACACATGCACACGCGTGCACTCACATGCATATGCATGCACACACATGCGCACACACATGTGCATACGCACATGCACACACATGCAAACACGCACTCACACACGCGCACACACACGTGCATACACCACTCACACATGTGCACACACATGCACAGAGTCACATGCACATGCATACACACACACGCACACACACACATGCACACACACACAGAAGTCGTCACACCGCACCCCAGCTCCGCGTGTTCTGCTGGAGTGGGATGCTCCCTGCACCTGATCTCTCAGGCGCGTGGGGAAGCCAGGCCGACCCCCGCCAGGCCCTGCGGGTCTCAGAGATGAAGAGCCAAGCGAGTTTGTTTGTTGGGGAAACGGGAGCCGAAGCGTTTTTGCACCCAGCGATTGTGCCACGTCAGGCCTCAGCGTGGTCTGGGAGCCGCCGCGGGGCGAGCTCTGTGCCCGGCCCCACGACTCCTGCCATGGCAGAGGGGCGGGCTGCTGCCCACGAGGCCACCGGGAGAGGGCTCTGGGCATCCCGGCTGCCCGGGAGGGGGGCTCAGGTCGCGGGGGCGGGCAGCCCCCGGAAGGCATGACGCTGGGCTCGCCCCCACAGCTCAGCGTCCCCCGCAGGCGCCTCATGTCGCTCCGGGAGCACGCGGAGACGGGCCAGTGGCGCTACAGTGAGATCTGCATGGGCCAGGGCCAGACCTGCGCCTTCCCGGGCCTCATCAACCACTACCACCGGCACATCATCTCCTTCGGGGAGGACGAGGCCGGTGAGCGCCCCCTGCTGGCGGGGGGAGGACGAGGCGGGGAGCGCCCCCTGCTGGCCAGGGAAGGATGAGGCGGGGAGCGCCCCCTGCTTGTGGAAGCAGGACGAGGCGGGTAGTGCCCCCTGCTGGCCTGGGGAGGACGAGACTGGGGAGCGCCCCCTGCTGGCAGATGGGATGAACGAGGTGAGGGACCTGCTGGTCAGGGGCGGACAGGGCCGGGGAGCGCCCCTGCTGGCTGGGGGAGGACGAGGCGGTGAGCGCCCCCTGCTGGCCAGGGAAGGACGAGGCGGGGAGCGCCCCCTGCTGGCCAGGGAAGGATGAGGCGGGGAGCGCCCCCTGCTTGTAGCGGCAGGACGAGGGGGGTAGTGCCCCCTGCTGGCCTGGGGAGGACGAGACTGGGGAGCGCCCCCTGCTGGCAGATGGGATGAACGAGGTGAGGGACCTGCTGGTCAGGGGCGGACAGGGCCGGGGAGCGCCCCTGCTGGCTGGGGGAGGGCGAGGAGGGGAGCGCCTCCTGCTGGCGGGGGGATGACAAGGCCTGGGAGCACCCCCTGCTGGTCGGCAGGAGGATGAGCTCAGGGAGCGCCCCCTGCTGGCGGGGGATGACAAAGCCTGGGAGCACCCCCCTGCTGGTCGGCAGGAGGATGAGCTCAGGGAGCGCCCCCTGCTGGCAGGGGATGACAAGGCCTGGGAGCACCCCCTGCTGGTCGGCAGGAGGATGAGCTCAGGGAGCACCCCCTGCTGGCGGGGGATGACAAGGCCTGGGAGTACCCCCTGCTGGTCAGCAGGAGGATGAGCTCAGGGAGCACCCCCTGCTGGCCTGGGGAGGATGAGGAGGCGGAGGGCCCCCTGCTGGTGGGGATCTGAAAGCCCCCGGGTCTCAAGTCTGAAGGGCCCAAGAGTCTGCTGCTCATGGGAAGGTGGGCGAGAAGGTCCCAGCACCGGCAGGGGTGGGCGGGTGTAGAGCCTCGGGCACCAGTGGGTGGGACGGATGTAAACTTGGCCTGGAAACAAATCCTGGACACTAGAGCCCCCTCCGGGTTCCCGATGGCGGCCCATGGGACCTGTGAATGAGCCCCATCTTCCCCGGGGTGGGCACCCTCTTGCCTGGCGGTGGGGCTGCCCCCTCGGGACTGTTTTCAGCCATGGGTGGGTGGTGGAGGGGTGAGGAGAAGGGGTCAGGGGGCTGGGCCCGGCTCCCGCCTCTGGCCTTTGTCCTCAGCCTGGGATTGTTCCTGACAGCGGGGGCTGATGCATGCTTGGGGGTTGCTAGGCAATGCCCACCCAGGGGCCCTTTCAAGGGGTGGCCCCCGCGGGCCCAGAGCCCAGAGCCTTCCAGGGCCCGGGCTGGGAAAGTTTTGTGGAGTTTTGACCCGCCAGAATGAGAATCTCCCAGCAGCGGCCCCAGTGCCCACCCCCATGTCCCCACGGGGCCCCAGAAGCCCTTTTACTTGGCCAGTAAGGGGTTAATGTGGGAAGGAGGGGGGTCTGCTCCCTCCTGCCTCACACACACACGTACACACACTCACATGCATATACACTTTTGCATGCTTGCACAAATACATACACATACATTCCACTCACACATATACATGTTATATACACGCATAACATTCTCACACACACATGCATGCACATGTACATGCACGCATGCACACGAATGTGCAGACACAAATGCATACTCACGCACGCACACACACATATGCACACACAGTCAAGGCCTGGCAGTACAGTGCAGACACATATACATACTCACGTGCACACACACACACACACACACATGCACACACAATCAAGGCCTGGCTGTACGGTTCCCAGGCCCTTCCTCAAAGGACACTAGGACCAGAAGGACAAACAGAAAGGACTGTCCCTTCTCGAGCCGTATGTGGCCCCGGAAGGTGCTGATCCCGGGGCCCCCGCCGGCCTCGCCCCCTCCACCTTCTGTCTCTGCAGGTCCTCTCCATGCCTGAGAAGTGTGAGCCCCTCCTCCCCCATGCCCGGCAGGACCCTGGGGCCAGTGCTGATGGGGTCCCTCTGCCCATCATGTCTGGAAGGGACCTCGGAGTGTGCCTGGGGCAACTCTGGCACTTTCCAGCTGGGGAACTGGGACCAGCTGGTCCCGGGGACCAGCCAGGCCTCCTAGAGAGGCTTCCAGCTGGCCTGGCCCTGAGAGGAGGGGGGCAGGGGGGAGGGGGGCTGCGCATGCTTGGGGGCTGCAGGGTGCACTCCTGAACACACAGTACCCACTTCCTCCTGCAGGGGGGGTGGCATCACCATGTGACTTCTTGACCCCCTTTCCACCCCGAAGCCTGCCCAGTCACCATTCAGCACCCGAAGCTCCCACCCTCAAGTGTCTTCCCTTCCTGGAAACCCCCCCACAACGGCCCCCCCCCCCGCTCCCTGGGCCTTGAGCCTCACCGCCACCTCCAGGCAGCCCTCCCTGACTACTCTTCACCACCACCCACCCAGCCTTCCCCTGGGGAAACATCCCGTCTGCAGCTATGGGAGCTCCTGCTGCTGCCCCTGACACCCAAGTGCATAGGTGTGGCCCTGCATAGGTGTGGCCCTGGGACAGCTCATGTCCCCATGTCCCCGGCCTGGCTTACTCATGCACCAGCTGTGTGATGTTGGAGTGTTCACTTGACCTCTCTGAGCCTGTTCCCACCTGGAAGATGGGGATGATGTGGCCCCAGCAATGTGGGAATGGGCCTTTCCCATGGGGATCAGGGCACGTTTTTACCGGAACCCCAAAGCTATGGCAGAAATGGAGGCTCCGAAGGGACCATCTGAGACCTGGGTGACGGTGGCAGTGACAAGGGCCACATGCGGGTCCCACGGGTGCATTCAGGCTCAGGGTGTGCTTAGCACCCTGACTCTTCCCATGGGGTGTGCCCAGGTAGGGGGAGGCAGGGAAAAGTCAGGGCGCAGAGATCAGGAGGTCACTGCCTGCCGGATGCCCAGAGCGGGTGGTGAGTCGGGAGCCAGAGTCCCGTCTGGGTGGTCCCCGAGTGAGCCCCTCACAGCTGGGCTGTCGGGGTCCCCCATCCTGGGCGGCTCCCGTCCACCTCCTCACGCCTGCCTCTTCCCCCAGGGGAGCTGTACTTCCTGTCCACGGCTGTGCCCAGCGCAACGGCTGCCCGTGGGGTTGTGTACAAAGTGATCGACCCCTCCAGGTGAGAGCCCACCTGGCCTGGGCAGACTGGACAGGGCAGCCCGGCCGGGGGGAGGGGGGCACGGGGCAGGCCAGGGGCGCTGGGCCCTGCCAGCTCCACGTCTAGCTTTGCCCCACAGCGGAGGGGACCGTGGAGAGGGCCGGGGCCCAAAAGCCACACTTGGTAAAGAGGGAATGCTTAGGACCTGCAGGGAGCAGGGGATCAAACTCGGGGACCCACGTATGCTGGACCCTTGTCCCCGCGGCTGACCCCCAGGGCTCGGGACATGTGCATGCGGGTTTTTTTTTTTTTTGCTTTTTGGGTCACACCTGGCGATGCTCAGGGCTGACTCCTGGCTCTGTACTCAGGAATTACTCCTGGCAGTGCTCAGGGGACCATATGGGATACTGGGAATCGAACCTGGGTTGGCCGCATGCAAGGCAAACGCCCTACCTGCTGTGCTATTGCTCCAGTCCCTTGATTTTTAGTTTTTTGGTTTTAGAACCACACCCAGCAGTGCTCAGGACGTACTCCTGGCTCTGTGCTCAGGAATCACTCCTGGCAGTGCTCAGGGGTGCTGGGGATCAAAACCCAGCTGGACGTCCTCTCCGCTGACCTATGCATACATACTGAGGGGGGACACCAGCCATGCCTGAGGGTCATGCTCGGTGGCCCTGGGGAGTGGACAGTCCCGGGATGAGAGCTGGGCACCAGGCTGGACCTCAGGTCTTTGACTGGCCTGGCAAGGAGCCAGCCCAGACCCTAGGGTCAGGTTTTTTTTTTTTCTTTTTGGGTCACACACCTGGCGATGCACAAGGGTTACTTCTGGCTCATGGACTCAGGAATTACTCCTGGCAGTGCTCGGGGGACCGTATGGGATGCTGGGAGTCAAACCCGGGTCTGCTGCGTGCAAGGCAAACGCCCTACCTGCTGTGCTATCGCTCCAGCCCCAGGTCAGGTCTTTATACTTTAGAATTCTTTGGAGCTGGACGTGAGCGGCAGGGATGGCGGTATTTCTCGTTACTCCTGCGCCCGCTCGGCAGACCACCAGGCCCACCCGGTCAGCTAAACTCCAGCCGCGCCCCCGCCTGGCCTCTGCGTCCTGTCTCCTGGTCCCCGCAGCTTGCTCTGGTGGGGACGGTCTGCCACCAGGAGTCCCTGTCTGCAGCACCTCCGCCTCCTTCCACCACCTCCTGAGGTGCCTCTGGGCGTCCCGGGGCCTGGCGTTGGGCTGTGTCATCTATTTGCCCCATTTTTGCACAAATAGTCCTGCTTGCAACATCCCTCGCAGGGGGGCCGAGATTGTCACTGGGCTCCCCGTGTCCTGGCTGGCCTGTCCACGCCTCGGACGCTGAGCTGGTTGCTGGTTTGTTTTTGGCCTGAGCCCACGGGGCCAGAACCGTCCTGGATTCTGGTCGGGGAGCGGGGTGGGGGAGGGGAGAAGTGACCTTCCGGCCCTCCTGCGCTGCCCGCACACGCTGACACGAACAGCGCCCCCTTCAGGAGAGTGAAAAATTACTTCGCTTGGGTTGTGGGAGCCACACCCAGCAGTGCTCAGGGGGCCAAGGGTGTGCCAAGGGTGGGGGTGGACCCCGGGCATGCCGGGGTCAGTGCCGACAGCGTCTCCCGGGCCCCCTGAGGAAGGTTTTAATGTCATTTCCTTACGGACGAAACTGAACAGGGCCGTTCCCTGTAGCGGAGGCTGCCAACCCGGCCCAGCTCCGCCCAGCCTGCTGGGGCTCTTCAACCCCCTTGGCTTCCCTGCCTCGGGGCATCCTGGGGACCCCTGTCGGGCTGATGAAACTATGACATTTCTGCCCCAAGCTGGACAGCGTGGGTCCCCCATAACCCCCCAGATCTGCAGCCCCAAAGCCATGAAAGTGAGGGTCCAGCCTTTGGGGGCCCCAAGTCCAGGAGACTCAGACTCCTGTGCTCACCTTCCTCCCCGCTTCCCTAAGCAGAGAACACTCCCTGCCTCAGTGCCCGCAGAAACACAGACCCCGGGGCTGGAGCTATAACACAGCGGGTAGGGCGTTTGCCTTGCACACGGCCGACGCGGGTTCGATTCCCAGCATCCCATAGGGTCCCCCAAGCACTGCCAGGAGTGATTCCTGAATGCAGAGCCAAGAGTAACTCCTGAGCAATACTGAGTGTGACCCCCCAAAAAAAATAAAAGAAAGAATGAAAGAAAGAAACAGCTGCAGGGGGAGAGGTGTCTGCAGGGGTGCAGAAGTGGCACCGTCTCTGCTCCTGAGCCCTGCCCTCTTCCCCGGCCCTGACTTCCTCCTGTGTGTTGGCAGGCGGGCACCCCCGGGCAAGTGCCAGATTGAGCCCACTGAGGTGAAGGTGAAGAGCCGCCTCATCCCCTTCGTGCCCAAGGAAAGTAAGTACTAGCGGGCGGGCAGGAGGGGCGCCTGCAGCCCCCCACTTCCCCACCCGGCCTCCGGGGCTGTCTGGACTCCTCCAGCCCACACCTGCCACACCCGACACATCAGTGCCAGGCCCCAGGCCCTGGTGTGCGCCGTGCCAGGGTCAGGGCTGAGGCGGGGGCTGAAATGTGCCAGGCCCAGCAGGGCGGGCAGAGGGCGAGGCCCCAAGTCCAGCCGTGCCAGGCACGGCCCAGCCGCCTTTCCGGGAGGCCTGTTGTGGGGAGGGGGGAGCCCCATGGAGAGTCTCGGGGACGGGTTCCCAGCAGCCCCCCAGGGAGGTGGACTTAGGGCCCGGCTGGACAGCTGCCCCCAGAGTCGAGCACTGACCAGCATGGGGCAGGGTGAGGCGGGAGCCACCCCTGGGCTTGGTCTTCTAGTTCTTTTTTTTTTTCCTTTTTGGGTCACACCCAGCAATGCACAGGGGTTACTCCTGGCTCTGCACTCAGGAGTTACTCCTGGCGGTGCTCGGGGGACCATATGGGATGCTGGGAATCAAACCCGGGTCAGCTGCGTGCAAGGCAAACACCCTACCCGCTGTGCTATCACCCCAGCCCCCTTCTAGTTCTTTTTATTAGTTGTTTTTTGGGGGGCTGCTCCCAGCTGTGTTTGGGTGGTGCTGGGGGTCTCCCTGCACACACAGCCTGTGCTCAGCCTGCAGGGTACTCTCTGGCCCGACTTTTTTTTTTTTTTGCTTTTTGGGTCACATTCAGAGTTGTATGGGGTGCACAGGGATCATATGGGATGCTGGATGCTGGGAATCGAACCCGGGTCGACCGTGTGCAAGGCAAATGTCCTCCCGCTGTGCTATCGCTCTAGCCCCTGGCCCGACTTTCTTTTCTGCTGGTTTGGTTTGGGTTTGGGGCAGCCCCTGGCTCTGCTCAGGCGTCACTGCTGGTGGTGCCTGGGACCAGCACGGGCACCTGGAGGGCCCCCGCTGTCCTCTGTCCCTTCCCTTTATTCCTTTGCCCCTCTGGGAACCCAGGGGCCTGGATTCGTGGCTCCGAGCCCAGGGTCCCTGTCTCCCGGCGAGCAGGACCTGAGGCATCTGCCAACTGGAACTGTGGGCCCCTGCTTCTCAAAGCCACAGACTCCCCTGCCCGGGGCCAGGGTGCTCCAGCAGATCCTTGGGGGCAAGGGGCTTGGGGGGGGCAGAGAACGGGGAGGTTGGGCATCTGGGTGATGGGGCACCAGCCCAGTGGGGGAAGGGGTGTCTGGGTGGTGGGGGCACCAGCCCGGTGGGGGAAGGGGTGTCTGGGTGGTGGGGGCACCAGCCCCATGGGAAGAAGGGCGCTGGGCGTTGGGAAGCTCTGGTTCCAGGGCTGGGACCTGCTGTGGGTGGGACCCTGGGGCTCAGAGCAGCCCAACCCCTGCCTGGCTGCCCCAGGTCTGGGGGCAAAGGTGTGGCCATCCCGGCATCCTAGGGCTATGAGCCCTTCTCTGAAGGTTCAGAGGTGTCTGGGCGGTGGCTGCCAGCCCCTGCCTGCCGTCATGGGGGTCCTTTCTCAGCCCTCGTCAGGGAGTCCATGGGGATTGGCCCAGATGGGCCGAGGGCTGAGCTGCTGTCCCTGAGACTCGCCCCATGTGACCCCGTGTCTGGGGTACCGGCTCCTCGCTGGGCCTGTCTACTTGGGTATGCTGGAGGGGGGGGCGTTCTGGGAAGTGACCTCTCTGCCTCATCCCTGCCCGCCCTGGGCCCCTGGGTCCCAGCTTCCCCCAGCTCCTGCTGGTCCTCCTGAGGGGGCCCGGGCAGGTCTCGGGCTGCAAATCTGGGGGGACAGGGGCAGGGTCCAGGTGCTGGATTGTCCCCTGCCAGCAGAACTGGCCCAGTCCTCAGCAGCTGGGTCCAGATGAGTCTGGACCCATCACCCCTCTGCCCCTCGTGAGCCAGGGCTCAGAGTGAGGGTTCGGCTAGGCGCAGGGAGGGGGTCCCGGGAGGGCGGGCAGGTCTGGGTTCCAGGCACTGAAGTGGGGGCTGGGGCTTCGGTCTGGGGTCTGGGTCCCCCTGACGGGCTGTTCCCACCTCCTGCACAGAGTTCATCCGGAGGCCCGAGGGCACCCGGCGCCCGCCAGCGCGCGCGCCCACGCAGCCGCCCCGCCGCGGCAGCCGCCCCACGGCCGCCCCGTCGGGGTCCACGCGGCGACCGCCCCGCCCCACGCGGCGGCCCGGGGGCCGGAAGGGCAACCAGGGGCGGGCCCGCGGCCGGCCGAGCCCCACGGACCACCCTGCGCCCCGCCGCGGCGCCGTGCGCCTGGTGTCCCCCGCCGGCCTGGGCCCGGGCAGCGGGCGCGTGGAGGTGTTCGCGGGCGGCCGCTGGGGCACGGTGTGCGACGACGCGTGGGACAGTCGCGCGGCCACCGTGGTGTGCCGCCAGCTGGGCTTCGCGCACGCCGTGCGGGCCGCCAAGCGCGCCGAGTTCGGGGAGGGCCGCGCGCTGCCCATCCTGCTGGACGACGTACGCTGCACGGGCGCCGAGGCCAACCTGCTGGACTGCAGCCACCGGGGCGTGGGCCGCCACAATTGCGGCCACCAGGAGGACGCCGGCGTGGTCTGCAGCCACCACGAGCCGGGCCCCTAGCCGCCGCGGAGCCCGGACGGACGCGCCCCCAGCCGCCTCTCCAAGCTGAGCTGCGCTCCCCTGCGCACCCCAAAGGGCTCCGGGTGGCCTGGCCTCCCGGCATCGCGAGTGAAAGCAGCAACTCGGCGGGAGAGCGTCCACTCTCCCAGGCAGACACAGCTGCTGGCCACATTAACAGAGGTCTACCCTGGAGGCTGGAGGAGGCGGAGGAAAGCAGCCCAGGACTGGTGGCCAAAGAGGACGGAGGGTGTCAGCCTGGTGCTCCCAGGTGGCCTGGGGCAAGGCTCCCCTGGGAGGGGAGGCTGACCTCGGAAAGCAGTCAAGGGGTGGCCACCCCCCAGCACCGGCCTCCCCCACCCCGAGATGCCGCCTACGGTGGCTAGACTGAGCCCATTCGCCCGTGACTGGGAGGATGTCGGGTCTCCACTCAAGCTGTGCCACCGTGCCCATCCCCGCCCCCGCTGTCCTGGCCAGATACGTCTCTTGGTGAGACATCTCATCTCCAAGGCCCCAAACAGCCCTGTTGCCGCCGCCCTCTGCCAGGGGGTGGGGGGCGGGCACTGGGAGGCGCCTGGGCCCCGCCCCCTCCAGACGGAGCCACAGAGTTGGTGCCAGGGACCCCAGGGCCACAGAAGTGGGTTCAGCCTCCGCCAGGAGACAGCGCATGCCCAGGGCTTCTGGACCCCACCCCCCACCGGGTGCCATCGTGAGAGTTGGGTGGGTACCAGGCTGAGCCTGAGTCTGCCGGGCTGCTAGAAGGATGGGTCAGCCTTGGGATCCCCCCTCTGCCCCGCACAGCGCCCGGCCAGCCTGTCCTGGAGGGTGGGCGCGTGCCAGCCCAGCGCCCACCCGGCTCCTTCTCAGAGGGGCAATGAGGGCACAGCCCGAAGACCTGCCGGGACCTGGCACACCCTGGCGGGGTGCGGGGCCCAGGGGAGCTGCCTCCCGCCCAGGCCAGCCCCGCTCCCCCTGGCGGCCGCGCCCCAGGCGACTGTGGGGCGTCTGGGAAGTTCTGGGATGTGGGGAGAACACGCAGCACAGGGCTCAGGGGAGCACTCAAGGGAGGGGTGAGGGGCTGGGAGCGTGGGAGTCTGGTCCTGGGTATGGTGTCAGAAGCCTCTGCCTCCTCTTCCTGTTGGCCCTCCGTGCTTCCCCCCTGCCCCTCCCTGCCCCTTCTCCTCATCTCAAGGTCCAGAGATCATGATGTCCCGAAGGGAAGTCAGGGGGCCCGGGGCCACCATCCAGCGTCCCCCAGATGTCCCTCAAGTGCCAAGGGGTCCTGCCCTCTCCCCCACATCATCATGGTCGCTCGCGGGGTGACTGGGGTGGGTCCAGGCCCCTCCCCTCCCCTGGACAGTGCCGGCCCCGCCCCCCCCATGCGTCCCCTGGCCCATCACCCTCCAGCTTCCAGATCAGTTTTGGCTGCAGCGTGGCCCCGAGGAGGAGGTGACGGGTGGGGGTGGAGACACAGTTCAGAGGGCGGAGGAAGGGGATGCCGCAGGCGGCGTCCACCCCAGCCCCACAGGGTCCCCCGCACCCGGGAACAGCCTCCTGAGTGCAGAGCCCACAGCCAGAGTGGCCCCCGACCAGCAGGTGTAACCTCAAACCAAAGCACACGAGAGAGAGAGAGAGAGAGAGAGAGAGAGAGAGAGAGAGAGAGAGACAGACAGACAGACTGACAGACAGACTGACAGTGGGGGGAGAACTGACCTCACGCAGCATCTCCCAGCTGGCCGCCAGGTCCTGTCCCCAAAGGTGTCCATGACCCGCTCCCTCACAGAAATAGTGTCCTGCAGATGTGCGATCCAGGGCCCAGAGAGGGTGAGCCACCCCTGAGATGTCACACAGCCAGTACCCGAAGCAGCTGTCCCACTGCACTGCCCCACCTTGGCCTCCTCACTGTGCGGGAGGATGCAGACTCCTTGTCCAGTGCTCCCTCTCTTCCCCCGCCCTAAAGGCCCTCCCAGGCAGGACTGCCATCCTGCTCCTGGGCGCCCTGCTCCCTTCCACCCCAACTCACCCTGGAGCAGCCAGTCTGACCCCGTGACCAGGACTGTGTCCACTCCTGGGAAAGGGCTTCCCTCTGTCCCTGGCAGTGCTGGTCAGTGGCTGTCACCCCGCTTTGGGCCACCTGAGCTTCCCCAAGAATCCGGGGGTTTATATCTTGAAAATGCCTGACTGAAGGGCACTGTGAGAGGCTGGAGTTTCTCTGCCTTGGCTGTGTGACCTTGGGGTGGTCACTTGACCTCTCTGAGCCTCATTTGGAAATGATCAACAGGATGTTGTGGTGGGTGGTTGGGTGCCAGGGGTCCAGTAGCAGGATTGCTGGAAGAAAAGGCCTTTGCATTATCATTATCATTATTATTATTATTATCATCATTATTATTATTATTATTCACCCTGCATTGCCTCCTGGACAGAAGTCTCAACACCAGGCTGGTGGTGTCGGGGCCAGAAGCTGCCAACTGTGTCAGACAGGGTGGGGAGGGGCTGGCCCGTGCTGGAACTAGCATGGAAATGTCCTGGGACAAAGCCTCAGAGTAGGGGGAGCCCCGCCCCGCCCCCCCTCCTGCGCCCTAGTCCTCCCCAGGGCCCCTCTGTGCTCCCGGCCCCGGCCCCTAGGGGGCGTCCGTGCACGTGTCCGTGATGCCCCTTAGACGCACATCACAGGCCTTGGCCCAGATCCCCGAGGCGGCTCCGCCCCTTGTCGGAGGTCTCGCGTTCAGAAGGGGGTCCTCGCCCCCAGAGCAGGAGCTGTGTTCTCTGGCCGCTGTCCCTGAGCCCCCCCAAGCCCTTCCCAAGGAGCGTCACCCCGTCTGCCCTCATCACCCCCAACCATTCCCACCGGGAAACCACGTGCTCCGCGGCGCCTGCAGCTGCGCCCGCACTTGCATGCAGTGACACACTGACTCACCTCACCTGCTAAACACAGTCCTTGGGACACGGAGACGCCCGTGAGGGCGCCTGGCCGAGCACATCCGGAACGGAGGAGGCCAAAGTCTGAGCCCCAGACCCCAGGCTCCACCAGTACCGAGGCTTAGCCTGAGTCTGAGTGACCCCAGTTCCCCACCCCACACACAGAAATATCCGAGATGGGGTCAGAGAGAGGCTACAGCAAGGAAGGGCTTGTCTTGCACGCAGCCAGCCTGGGTTTGATCCCCTCATATGGTGCCCTAGCAATGCCCGCAGTGCTCTCTGAGCAGGTATGGCTCAAACAACTACTCCTTGCCTCCCTCCCAAATATTCATAATTTTTTTCCAAATTCTTTTTTGATATGAAATTGACACAACCCTGGGCCAGAGCCATAGTCCAGCGGGGAGGGTGTTTGCCTTGCACGCAGTTGACCGGGTTTGCTTCCCGGCATCCCATCCAGTCTCCTAAGCATCACCAGGAGGGATTCCTGAATGCAGAGTCCTGAGTAAGCCCTGAGTATTGCGGGGTGCGGCCCAAGACAACCAAAGTGGAAAAAGAAAAAACAACTGACACAACCCCGCAGGTGATTGCACACTGGTTTGGACTGGTCACTTATCACCTTCCTCTCGGTGGCCGTGTTCACCGCATGGGAGAGAGGCTGTTCTGACTGGTGGTTCCCAAAGCGGGCAATACCGCCCCCTGCAGGAGTGCTGGAACTTTCCAGACAGTGGGAATGGCCCTGGGTGCAGTTGAGGGGGGCTTTCTGTTTGTTCATTTTAAAAAGGGAGACTTCCAGAGGTGCGGCGAGCGGTCTTTTTGCTGGAAAGAGAGTGGTGGGCGTCTCTTCACAGAGGCTCAAGGCACGGCTCAGGGCAAAGCGCTCCAGGTTGCAGTCTGGTGCCCACGGCTGGACGTCAGTCCCTACTTCTCCAGGCAGGGGAGATGGTGGAGTGGAGAAGGAGCTTGCCTTGTAAGTGGCAGACCTGAGTCAGATCCCTGGCACCACTTAGGGCCCCCGAGCACTGCCTCTGAACACTGAGCCCGGAGTAAGCCCTGTTCACCGCCCAGTATGGCCCCCAAACAAAAACAAACACTCCTCTCTTTAGCCCTCATTGGAAGAGGGTATCCCGGGGAAGTTCAGGGCCTGGCCCTGTCGTTAAGGAATGATTATTATTATTATTTTTGCTTTTTTTTGGAGGGGGTCACACCCGGCTATGCTCAGGGGTTATTCCTGGTTCTGCACTCAGGAATTACTCCTGGTGGTGCTCGGGGGACCATATGGGATGCAGAGGAACGAACCCAGGTTGGCCGCGTGCAAGGCAAATGCCCTATCCGCTGTGCTATCACTCCGGCCCCCAAGGAACGATTATTGGGCTCCCCCTCCAAATTTTCTCCAAGGTCCGGAGCTTTCACAGCCCAGGAGGGACTGTCTGACCACTCAGTCCCTCCCCTCCCCCCAGCCCCCTGCCCCGAAACAGGCTGGACCAGAGCGGCATCTGCTTGTTGGGGCCACATGGTGGCGCTGCGGCCAGTACCTGCTCGCAGCTGGACCTGGCAACTGGACCTGGACCAGTTCTGTCCTCCCTACTGGCCCCATTTCCGAAAGCTCAGAGCGCTCCATCCATCACCTTACAGCCCACACCCCTCTCTGGTCGCTGGTCACAGTCGGCGGTGACTGTCCCTGGCTGAATCTGGGGAGAAGAACCAGAACCTTCCTGTTCTCCAGCCCCAGAACCTCCCCGGGCCTGGCCCTTGAAGGCGACAGAGGCAGCATCCTCTGGCTCTTTCTCAGGCTTGAGAAAGCATCCACGCTCGCTGTGCGCTTGTCCCCAGAACAGAAGACCTTCGCAGGGGCTGGGAGCGAACACCTGGGTCCCCCGGCTTCCAGCCCCGCTTTCCCTCTGAGTTCCCGAAAGATCTCGAAGGTATCTTTGCAGAGAGCCAGAGCAGAATGGAGCGGGCTGAGCTCAGAGCTTGCAGCCGGGAGGCCCGGGTTGCATCCCGGGCACAGTGCAAATCCCTCGCACGGAGCTGGGAGCAGCCCCCCAAATAAGCAAATAAAAAGTCTGGAGCTGTTTTCATCTGTCGCCTGGTTGGAGAAGCGGGGAGGAGGGCAGTCGTGGTTATTATTCCAGAAAAGCTCCGGGTTTGCCAGGCGCCTCTCGGAGCCTCCCGAGGGTGACCTTCCCTGCCCACATTTTTCGCCCTGTCTGTCGGCGCTCGGTTCCGACCCAGGCCAGCACCTCTCCTAGGCTCCCCCTGGGTCTGGGAGCTGCGGGCGGCGCGTGGGACTCCGGGAGAACAGCCCGGAGTGGCGCCGAGCGTCCGTCATTTGCAGCCCCGGGCCTCCGTGTGTGCCACTCGGGTCCTGGTGCCCTGCCCGGTGTGCTCTATTGGGGGTCCGCGGGGGCCCGGGGAGGGGGGCGATCTGCGTGGACACGTCGGCCGGGGGAACTCAGCTCTGACGGTTGGAGAGGTTTGGGTATGAGCTGGACGTCTGGAGACCGGAATGGGATTTTCAGCACGGCGCTAGCGGGAAAGGAGGGGTCGAGGGCGCGCGCGGAGAAACGCCGTTACACGCAGCGCCCGGGAGGCTTGAGCGCCGCCGCTCGGCAGTCGGCGCGGACGACTCCGGGTTGCCACGGACAACGCGTTGTGGGCGGAGCTGCCATGGGGGTGGAGCTTGGGGCTGTGGGCGGAGCCCGCGGGGGGTCTGAGCCAGCAGCGGCGTCGTCATTGGCAGAGACTCCATGCCAGGGGCGGGGCTTCTTGGGGGGCGGGGCCCGCGGGGGGCGGGGCGGGGGCGGGCCCGGCGCGTGTGGAGCCGGAGGCGGAGACGTGGTTGGCGGGGCCGGAGCGCCGGGGCGGGGCCGGGCCGGCGGGGGCGGGGCCGAGCGCGTGGGGGCGGAGCTGGGTCGCGCCGGGCCTGGGGCCGAGGCGGCGCGCGGCGCTGACAGCTGAGTCGGCTGGCGGCTTCCCGCCCCCTCGGTGCCCGGCCCCGACCCCGGCCTGCTGGGCCTCGGAGCCATGAGCCCCGGGCTGCTGCTGCTCCTCGGCAGCGCCGTGCTGGTCGCCTTCGGCCTCTGCTGCACCTTCGTGCACCGCGCTCGCAGCCGCTACGAGCACATCCCCGGGCCGCCGCGGCCCAGGTGAGCGGGGGGTGGGGGCGGGGGCCGGGCTGGGGCGCCGGGAGGGGGGCGCCTGGGGAGCCGCGTCCGGGCCGGGGGTCCGGCCTCGCCCGCCGCGGGGGGCCGCCCGGAGCGCGCGGCCGGGAGAGGGGCGCTAACTATTCTTAGTAACAAATTACTCACAGCCGCCGCCGCAGCTGCTCGGCGCCCACCGCGCTCCGCGGGGCCCGCACAGACGTGACGGCAGCGCCGAGCCCGGTAGGTAGGCGCGACTGGTACCCCATCGTTCAGACGAGGAGACTGAGGCACGCAGGAGGCAAAGTCACCCGCCCAAGGTCACGCGGCTGCAAAGCCCAGCTCCCGAGCCGGGGCAGCGGGCGCTCAGTGGGCGCTGGGAACTTCGGGACCCGGCCGGGGTCGCGCACCTGCCTCGGGCCGCGCGGTCCTTGGCTCCGCCCCCTCCAGCCCTCCCGACCCGGTCCGCCCCCCAGCGCGCCTTCCCAGCCCGCCCGCCCCACCGTCGGCCCCGCCCCCAGCAGCGCACTCCCCCCACCCCCACCCCCACCCCCAGTTACCTTTCTCAACCTCCACCACACATGCCGGCTCTGCTCCACGGGCTTCCCGGCCCTGCAGAAGGAGCCCGGGTGCAAAGGAAGTCCCCTGGGTGGCCAGCGAGGCCCCTCCCGAGCTCTCAGAAGCCTTTTGGTGCTGGTTTCTCCCTTCTCTGTCTTTCTGCCCCCCACCCCAACCCCCGCCGATTCGCGCCTCCGGGACCTTGCAGTTCCCCACCTACCCCCAAACTCCTCAGGGGGCTGTCCCCCCCCCCCGAAAATCCCCTTCTTTCACCTGTTGACTGTTCACCTGTTGATGTCTGCCCCCCTCCCCTTTAGGATGTGAGCACTCCCACCCCCCTACCCCCGCCCCGGAGGGCAGGGATGCTGTGTGTTCCCTCGTGTACCCCCAGCACCTGGCGCGTTGCTCAGTTGCTCAATAAATGTATTGAACGAATGAATAAACGATGGCATTAGACACGCTTCTTAAAAACCTCCGGATGTGAACATTCTGGAAGGCACCCCCCTCCGTCACCTCCCGCGCTAGCCAGACGTCTGGGTGTTAGGTGCCCGAACCCCTGTTTAGCAGAGCTCTATGGCCACCACATCCCCCCCTTCCAGTTCTGCATCCTCACCCGCGGGGTCTTCCGGACCCCATGACCCCTTCAGCCTGCAGTTCCCCCTCTTTGCTAGGGGATTCATTTCCCCCTTTCCAGACCCGGCTGAAGTGCTGACTCTGAGGGCGCCCTGCTTCTGCCCGCCTGTATTTGTTCCTGGGGCTCCAGGATGGTCATTGCATAATACCGTGCGGGGCGGCTTGTGAAGTGTCTGTCTCCCCCCGTAGGCCTGTGTGTCTCATTCTCTGCTCTGCCTTCCACATCTGGCGCCTGGAGCGTCGCTGCTCCATAAACACCGATTTAAGGCTGGCGGGTGGCGGTCGCCCACCTCTTCTGTGAGCACACGCACTGACTGCCCTTTCAAGTTTTTGAATCAGCCTAGAACGGGCTGGGTTCTGCATCGCTGTGCACCGATGTGCTCAGTTACTCTCTTCCCGGCGAGGCTGAAACTCTGCCGCCCTGCAGAGAAGGCTTGAAAGGCAACGTTTAAATGCCAAGCCCTCCTTCCCACATCTTTTCTTTCTAAGTGCATTCTTTTTAAAAAATATAAAATTATGCTCATGCAATTTGCCCTGCAGTTCTGTACAACTTAGCATTTGTCAGTCTGGGGACAGATGTGAGCGGTCGTCACCATGAGTTCTAGAACTTTTCGTCCTTCCCCACATGAAGTTTCGGTCCCTCCCACCCCTCGCTGCCTGGGCTGCCAGGGTCCACTCTCTTCTCCCTCCCAGCAGTGGGCTCATGACCAGCAGCCGTTCTGTGTCATCCCTGGAGGAAGGTGTGCCTGCATCTCCTTTCTTGTCTCTGCCCCAGCGCGGAGAGCACAGACTCTGCATGCAACCTTTGGCAGCGGGGCAGGGGCAGGGGCGGAAGGAAGTGGACTCACATCCGAATTGGGCTTAGGCAGCTAAGGAGGGGACCTGGACCCAGCATGTGAGAAGAGAAAGGGTTCAGGCTGGCTTGGGGGCTCCCTGTGAAAGCCTCACTAAATGATCCTTCAGAAGCCCCTTCTACCCACTTAAAGCCTGGATCCCACCCCCAGCCTTGATTGGCAGCCTGTTGGGCTCCCCAGGAATCTTTGCACTGTGTCAGATTTGGGAGTTGCCAATTTACAGGCGAGGACCTCTTGGCCCTGCTAGAGGCAGCTGCCTGCCCTCCTCCTCCTCATCCTCTTCCTCCTCCTCCTCTTCCTCCTTCTCCTCCTCCTCCTCCTCCTCCTCCTCCTCCTCCTCCTCTTCCTCCTCCTCCTCCTCCTCCTCGCTCTGTAGCAAGTGCCAGAACAGCTCCCCAAGAAGCCCCTCCACGAGCCACAAAGATCCATCCAAGTCACAGTGGTAGACTGAGGCCACCTCAGAGGCAGCCAGCCAGCTGTGTGCAGCTTCTTGATTTCTGGGCCTGGCCCTGAGCTCCCACAGCGACCCCCACTCTCCTGGAGGTGGGGGTGGGGGTGATTGCGGCTGCAGGCTGCAGGCCTTTGGTCCTGCACTTTGGTCCTTGCAGTGGGTAGGTGCTTCCGGGCTGCTCCTGGCCCCTGGCTGGGCAGCGGGAGGGCATGGGGTGGCTTCCAGGAGCCTGGGGTCCTTCTGGGGGGCACATCCAGCAGACTCCCCATGAGGCACAGCCATGGACCTGGTGACCCTGCCCGCAGTGCCGTCTGCTGCAGACTTGGGGCCAGGCTTCTCAGAAACCTGGGCCCCCCACGTGTCAGTGCTATTGAAAACAGGGGAGGAGGATTTGCACCCTCCTTTCTCCTGACAGCTCTGCAGTACCCCATCTCCCATCAGGGCCTGCCCAGGGGGCTTTTGTCTGACCCCCCACATCCTGCCCAGCCCCTGTTTCTGTCACTGGACCTGCCGGTTCTGACATCGGCTTTCCCGCCTCCTCAGCGCCCCCTGCAGGAACAAGAAGGAACTGCTTTGCGTTCCCTCTTGTCTGGTCTGGGACCCCCACGCCCCTCTGTGTGGAGGGGGGCCCGAGGGATAGTTCTGGGGCCTCCAGCTCTTCCCTCCTGGCCCGGGGAGGTCCAAGGGTCCAGAGCCCAAACCCAAAGCTTCCTCCGGATGCGCAGGTTTGGGGACTAGCGGTGGGCGCTAGATTCCTCCGGAAGGTGGAGCTGAGTAAGTTCAAGGGCAGCCCCCAGGGGTGGGCTCAGCATGGGGGCCGCCTCGCCTCCCCTCCCCCCCAGCCCTTCTTCCTGCCCCAACTTCTCCCCTTCCCTGCCGCCCCCTCCCCACCTGCCCCCACCTCCGCTGTAGTCTCAATCCTTCCAGCCAGGGAAGGAGGGGTGGGGGGGGAGGGGACTCCAGCCAGCCCCCCAGCTGCCCCGCCCCCCCAGCCAGCCCCCCTTGGCCCACATTCTCCGCTCTCCGTCTCTCCGCCTCACTCCCATTTTTATATAAGATGCGATAAAAAAAGCCCGTCTCTTCCCTCGATGCTGCCCCCTCTCCCTGCGCCCCCACACGCACACCCCCAGCCACCTGCCTGCCGCCGGGGCCCCTGGTCCCTCCCTCCTGTTCCTTCTCGGGCCCCCTACTTCCCCCACTGCCTGCTGTGCCCAGCCCCACCGCCCACCCAGGTCCACACTCGGTGCCCATCCGCTCAACCCTGCAGCAGCCGGCTGAGCCACACCCCTGCCTTTCTTGTCTGGCTCTCTTTGGGGGTCCCCGCTCCCCCACCCCGCATCACCTGCCGGTTCTCCTGCCTGCTGGTCCTTGATGTCCCGGTGCCTCGGGCCTGGGGCTTCTCTGAGGACACTCGCTGCCGGTGGCTGGCCCTTTCTCCGCCCCTTTCTGCTGAGAGGGGTCTATCTAGGATGTCCCTCTTGGGTCCTGTGTCCACCCTGGACTCTGAGTGCTTCCTCCCTCCCGTCACTGGGGGCCAGAACCGTCCTACCAGGACACAGTTCCCTCTGTCCTCAGCTGCCCAAAGCTGATGCCAAGTCAGGCAAACAAGTGGCCACAGCTTGGAGGGGAGAACGGGAACAAGAAAGCCGATGGCCCAGTTACTTCTGGGGGAACTGAGGCACAGCCCCTTACAGGTCTCAGGAGCTGGGGGAAGGGCTGACTAGGGGTGTGGGATCATGTCCCTGGGGTCTCGGGCTTGGAGGGGTCTGTGTAGACAGGGACAGGGGGTAGGGTGTGGGCAGCCATAGGGCCTGCAGCCCCCAGTAAAGGCCCCACTGTGTCCTCACACCTTCCAAACCCTGAGCTCTCCTGCCCTGCCCCCCCCCCCACTCACCCTCCCTTCCTCTTCCCAGGCAGCCATCCCTGCTGAGACCCCGGCTTTATGCCTGTACCCCACCTGCTTGGGATTATTCTCTGCCAGGCAGCAGAGCGAAGTGACCCCAAACCATGTGAGGTAATACTGGCTGCTCCATTCACAGCCCTCCAGGGACACCCCCCGCCCCCACATCTCTGAGGCCAAAGCCAAGATTGAGCCAACAGCCCACAAGGTCCAGATGATACACCCCAGACCTTAAGGACCCCCTCTGGGAGCACATCCTGCCGCCGCCTTCACTTTCTGGTTTTTCCTTGACCATACGGACCATACTTCTACCCCAGGACCTTTGCACTGGCCTTCCCATTATTCTGTCCCACACGGCTACATGCCCCCCTCTCAGAGGCAGCTCTGACTGCCTGAGGCCTGACTGGTCCCCCACACTCCCCAGCTTCCTCCCTTATTGCCTTTAGCTTGCTTGCTTACTTCGAATTTATATTCAGGACCTAGAACCCCCTAGGGCCATATGTCACAGCCTGGTCGCCTGCGTGGGTAGAATGTGCCGGGTGGACAGGAGGGCATAGGGACCCTGCCCCTGCCCTGATGCGGGGGTGAGGTTGGGGGAACCCTCGGCTCTGGCATCAGAACCCTGGCCGGCAGTCCTGCCTCTGTATCGGCTGGGCCCCAAGCTCAGCCCTGAGCCCAGGGACCCGAGCAGAGACGAGGGGTCCCCCCGGGCCCCAGGGGCCGTGCGAGGAAGAGGCTCCAGCTGTCTCGTGCCCCGTCTGTCCCAGCTTCCTCCTAGGTCACCTGCCCTGCTTCTGGAAGAAGGACGAGGCGTGCGGTCGCGTGCTTCAAGATGTCTTCTTGGACTGGTGCGTGTCCCTTGTCCTTGGTGCCCAGGCCCCTCGGGTCAGCCTGCCATACCCACCACAGCCCCTCCCAGGTCCAGTTTCTTCCCTGAGAGGGGTCAGAGGCCAACTCTGCCCAGCCCCCAGCAGCCCTCTGCTTCCTCTGTCAGCGGGCTGCAGGGCTGAGAGGGCCCATCCTCTCTGTGTGTGTGTGTGTGTATGTGTGTGTGTGTGTTGGGGGTGGGGTGGGACATTCCAGGATATGAGCTGTGTTCCTGGCACAGCCTCTCCGGGCAAAGGAGGAACTTAGCGTCCCCATTTCCTGGGTAGGGAAACTGAGGCCCATGGGGATGGGACTCCGCTGTGAGCTTCAGTGACCCCAGCTGGGAGCCCCTCCTCAGGGTAGCGAGTTCCGGTCTCTGCTCTGCTGTGACGGCCTCCTCCGGGCCCCTTTGACTCCTAGGGCTAAGAAGTACGGCCCAGTCGTGCGGGTCAACGTGTTCCACAAAACCTCGGTCATCGTCACAAGCCCGGAGTCTGTCAAGGTAGGTGGCGCCCCGGAAGCGGAAGCATGGCCCCTCCTGTCTCAGACTCTGGGCTGGGAGCATCCTTCCAACCCGCCTCGTTTGGTGGGTTCCGCCCTGTAGGGGTGTGGCACCAGCGGGCACGAGCGGGGACTTTGCTGTCCATCCCACTAGCCTCCTGAGTTGGGTTTGCCTGCGTACTCACAGTTAGAGAAGGCCTCAGTTTCTCCATCCGTGAAGTGGGGTGACAGGGCCTTTGGTTTAACACGGAGCATCCAAAGATACTTGTACATACATCTTTGTATGTGTGTTTCCTGTTTTGATTTTTGAGCCACACCCGACAGTGCTCGGGGCTTTCTCTAACTCTGCACCCAGGGACCACTCCTCGTGGGGTGCCCAGAGGAGAGATAGGTACTGGGGATCAAAGCCCCCTGCAAGGCCAGCGCCTTCTCAGCTGTCTGCACTCCAGCCCTGCCTGGACGCCACAGTGTCCAGCCCTTCCTATGGAGGCAGCAGTGAGCGCCTCTTGTTTACCTGAGGGTCCACCCAGCCGTGCCCAGGGCCGCCTCCTGGCTCCGTGCTCCGAAATTGCTCTCAGTGCCCAGAGAACGCTGAGGAGCCAGTGATTGCTCTAGGGTGTCCTGCACGCAATACCTCTCTCTGGCCAGTGACCCCGTTTCATCCTTCCAGGGAAAGGGACTCCCACCCCCCAGCCAAGCCCAGTTCTTTTCTTTTCTTTCTTTCTTTTTTTTTTTCTTTTTGGGTCACACCCAGCAATGCACAGGGGTTAATCCTGGCCCTGCACTCTCCTGGCGGTGCACAGGGGTTCATATGGGATAGTGGGAATCGAACCTGGGTCGGCTGCGCAGAAGGCAAACGCCCTATCCGCCGTGCTACGGCTCCATTCCCCTGCCCAGTGATTATTTTCATGCAGTTCCAGAATCCAATCCAGGGCCCCCCATTTGCAAGGCTTTCCTGCTGATGGTCGGGGGTGCCACCCCACCCCGATCCCCGCCCCTCAGTCCCCATTTCAGACACGTGGCGGTGCCCTGTACCGGCCCCTGGCCTGCGGTGACTGGCCGGCCACTTGGGAGCGGGCAGGGGCTGGACTCAAATCTGGGCTCTGCCAACCCACCACCGGCCGTGGGACCTCGCCCAAGTCACCTCAGCCCCGCCGGGGACCCAGTTAGCTCCTCCGCAAAAATGGGGGCGCTGCTGTCTGCGTCGCCCCCAGAGCGGCTGGTTGTAAGAACAGAGCGGAAGCAAGAGGCAGCCATCTGGCCAGCCCCCGCCGGGCCGCGCGTTCAATCGAGCGTTCAATGAACGGTTCTTCCCCCACGGGCTGCAGACTGCGGGGGCGTCGCGCTGCCAGGCGGTGCGTTAAAGGAGGATCAACACAGCGGCGGCCACGCCACGGCAGGGGCGGGCCGGGCAGCCAGCGCGCAGACAGGCGTTAAAAATACTCTTTCGCCGAGGAAAACGCATTCCCAATGCGGACACCGTTGTCAGAGCACCGCTGCCCGGAGCTGCAAAGGGACCTGCTTGAAGCTCAGCTAGAAGAAATGTTGATGAAATTGGGGATTGGGGAGGAGGGAGACGGTTTGGGGCCACACCCGCGGCGCTCGGGGCTCCCTCCCGGTGCTCAGGAATCTCTCCTAGAGGGACTCAGGGGGTGATCTGCGGGCTGCCGGGCATTGAACCCGCATCAGCCATGTACAAGGCAAAAATGCCTTAGCCCTGTCGTCCCTCCAGCCCTGAAAGGTCTTGCTAATACGGTGAATGACAGAAAGTAACACCCACGTTTGCCTTGTATGAGGCCAACCCGGGTTGGATCCCGGGCATCCCATGTGGTCTCCCCACCCCCAGCACCACCACAAGTGATTCCTGTGTGCAGAGTCAGGAGGAAGCCCTTAGCACTGCCAGGTGTGACCTAAAAAGCCAAAAAAGAAAGAAAGATAAAGAAAGTAACACCCACGTGCTCAGACTAATCTTGCTTTCCTGCGCAGTTCGCTCAGCGATGCGAGATTCTCTGGGTACAATTTGCACATCTCTTAGGTGCTTGTTTCTTAAGTTCTTATGTGTCATTCTTGCTACTGTTGTGAGGTTTCTGCCCCACCCCCCACCCCCGGTGCTGGGGTGGCAGGTGTGTGGTGCCGGGGATCCAACCCAGGGTCTCACACATGCCGGTCACACCACTGCCTCTTCTGTTTCTGATTGTATTCTTTTCTTTTTGTTGTTGTTTTGTTTGGGGGCCACACCTGGCAATGCTCAGGGCTGACTCCTGGCTCTGCACTCAGGAATCACTCCTGGTGGTGCTCGGGGGACCACATAGGGTGCCGGGGGCAGAATCTGGGTCGGCCACGTGCAAGGCGAGTGCCCTCCCCGCTGTGCTATTACTCCAGCCCTTAGATTTTTCTTTTCCTTTAATGCATTTCTCTGGTTCTGGTAGCAGGTTAATAAGCTTCGTAAGATGAATTGGGACAATAATTCCTCTCACCTGTTTTCTGAAAGCTTCCACAGGAATGGTGGTTTTTGCTTGCTTCAGCGTTTATAGAATCCACCAGCAAAATCAGCAGGGCCCGGAGTTGTCTCTGAAGGAAGTGTTTTGTTGCTGATGTCATCTTTTTATTTTTTTTTATTATTTATTTTTTTGCTTTTTTTGGGTCACACCTGGTGATGCACAGGGGTTACTCCTGGCTGTTCACTCAGGAATTACTCTTGGCGGTGCTTGGGAGACCATATGGGATGCTGGGAATCGAACCCGGGTCAGCCGCGTGCAAGGCAAACGCCCTACCCACTGTGCTATCGTTCCAGCCCCTTATGTCATCTTTTTATTTTTATTTTTTTTGGTTTTTTGGATCACACCTGGCGATGCACAGGGGTTACTCCTGGCGGTGCTCAGAGGACTATATGGGATGCTGGGAATCGAACCCGGGTCGGCTGTGTGCAAGGCAAACGCCCTACCCACTGTGCTATCACTCCAGCCCCTTATGTCATTTTTTTAAATCATGTATTCTATTTCTCCTAAAGGCGTTCACATTTGTGGATGGTAGTTTAGGTGACATGGCTGTGGGCTGTCAGTTAGATGACTCCGCTGTGCCTTCGCCGCCATCAGGGCCACCACCCTCTCGTCCTGTCACTTCTCTCTGCCTCTTCCCACCCACTTGGGGATCTTATCTTTGGGTCCAAGGCTGCAGATTGATGGTCAGCCCTTGGGATGGGTGCTCTGTAGATGATCATCAATTTTTTTTTGTTTTGTTTTTTTTTTGGTCACACCCGGTGATGCTCAGGGGTTACTCCTGGCTTTGCACTTAGGAATCACTCCTGGCGGTGCTCAGGGGACCATATGGGCTGCTGGGAATCGAACCCGGGTCGGCCACGTGCAAGGCAAACGCCCTACCCGCTGTGCTATCACTTCAGTCTCATCGATTTGCTCGAGCAGGCCCAGTAACGTCTCCATTGGAGACTTTGTTGTTACTGTGTTTGGCATATCGAATACATCACGGGTAGCTTGTCAGGCTCTGCTGGTCGGGCAAGATACTCTCGGTAGCTTGCCGGGCTCTCCGAGAGGGGCAGAGGAATCGAACTCGGGTCGGCCGTGTTGGCTGCGTGCAAGGCAGACGCCCTACCCACTGTGCTATCGCTCCAGCCTCAATCATCAATTTTTAAGTGTTTTTGTTTTATTGACTGACAGTGAAATACCCAAGGCAGACTGGTACTAGAATACTATATATCTTAAGATTACTCAGAAAATGGGCTGGAGCGATAGCACAGTGGGTAGGGCGTTTGTCTTGCACGCTGCCGATCTGAGTTCGATTCCTCTGGGAGATCCTGGCAAGCTACAGAGAGTAACTCGCCAACACGGCAAAGCCTGGCAAGCTCCCCGTGGCATATATTCGATATGTCAAAAACAGTAACAACAAGTTCTCACAATTTGTTGTGAGAGGTTACTGGTGCCCGCTGGAGCAAACCGATGACAGTGAGATACACAGTTACAAAGTTGTTCATGATTGTGTTTCAGTCATACAATGTTCCCACACGTCCCTTCACCCTTCACCTATGCACTTTTCCCACCAAGTGTCCCCAGTTTCCTCCCACCCCAGTCCTCCAGCCTGTCTCTCTGTTTCTCTCCTCTCTCTCTCTCCCTCCCTCCTTCTCTCCTTTTGGGCAATGCAGGTACTGAGAGGTTATCATCTGTATCCCCTTTTCTCCTTTCAGCATCAGTTCTTGTCCAGAGTGGTCATTTCCAACTATCACGGTCACGGTGGTCCCTTCTCTGTTCTAACTGTCCTCCCCCACCCTTGTGACAAGCTTTCTACCATGGACCAGTCCTCCTGGCCCTTGTTTCTACTGCCCTTGGGTATTAGTCTCATATTTTACTATGGATTTTTGTTGTTGTTGGTTGTTTTAAGATTGAATCACCATGAGACACACAGTTACAATATAAGATACACAGTTACAGCAGAAGATACAGTTACAGCATAAGATACATAGCTACATAGTTGTTCATGATCATACAATGTTTCAACATCAGTCACCTCATCATTTTTGCAACCAGTGTCCCCAGTTCCCCACCCTCCCCACCGCCTGCTTCAATGGCAGACTCTCTCTCTCTCTCCCTCCCTCCCTCCCTCCCTGCCTCCCTCCCTCTCTCCCTGCCTCCCTCCCTCCCTCCGTCCCCTCTTTTTCTGTCTTTCTCCTTTTTTTTTCCCTTTTTGGGTCACTCCTGGCGATGCTCAGGGGTTACTCCTGGCTCTGCACTCAGGAGTTACTCCTGGCGGTGCTCAGGGGACCATATGGGATGCTGGGATTGGAACCCGGATAGGCCGCGTGCAAGGCAAATGCCCTACCCGCTGTGCTATCACTCCAGCCCCTCTCTTTCTCCTTTTAGGCGCTGTGGTTTGCAGTGTATTGTGCCAAGTGCCATGAACGTGTGTGTGTGTGGGGGGGGTGCCTCTCTGTGAATCAGGGATTTTGTACTCTGGGGTTGAATGATGAGAAGTGGACTGTCTGAGTCCTATGGAGTCTCTATTTTGAACTTTCTTTGCCTGATTTTGGTTCTGGTTTGAGAGGGGGTCATACCTAGCTGTATTCTGAACTTAGTCCTGGCCCTGTTTTGAGGAGCACTGTGCCCTGAGCTGCTCCTAGGCCATATGGGGGTCTGGGGAGCAAACCCAGACCTGCCACAAGCAAGCAAGTGCCTCCCCCTCCCTGTGTTCCCAGCCCCTCTCGTTGGTTCTTGTATAAGATTTCATAGTTTTCCAAAACTCAGATGAGCCCCCTCCAGCAGAGAATGAGGGTCCCTCCACTCCATTCCAGCCAACACTGGTGGTTTCTTATTCTTTCCTTCAGTTTCTACTGAGGCACCATAATTCACAATAGTGTTAATAACAGTGTTTCGGGCACAGAGTGCCCCAACTCCAGTGCCCCTGTGCCAGCGTTCCCCTCACCAATACACCCAGATTCCGACCCATCCTCTGTCCTGCCTTTTAGGCAGACTCCGTTTTAAAAATATAATTAGGCGCCGGAGAGATAGTATAGTGGGGAGGGCGTTTGCCTTGCATGCAGCCAATCTGGGTTCGATTCCCAGCATCCCATATGGTCCCCTGAGCACTGCCAGGAGTAATTCCTGAGTGCAAATCCAGGAGTAACCCCTGTGCATCACCGGGTGTAACCCCCCAAAACTATGTATATGTAATCAGGGGCCGGAGCAATAGTATAGCAGGGAGGGCGTTTGCCTTGCATGCGGCTGGCCCGGGTTCGATCCCCAGTACTCTCTACAATTCCCCTGAGCATTGCTGGGTGTGGACCAAAAAACTAAACCCAAACAAAAGTGATCATGATAGTGCAGGTGTCCTGCATGTCAGAGCTGGACTCACTCCTGACTCTGTACTCAGGAATCCCTCCTGGTGCGCTCAGGGGACCCTGTGGTACAGATAGCGACCTAGGCCATGTGCAGAGAGGGCGCCCACTCTATTAATTCTGTTCCCACTTTGAAACCCTGGCTATGGGTGCAGTTGTCATGGTCGGGGAGGGCCAAGAGGGTGGTTCCCCGGTGACTTGCTTGTTGCAGTTTAGGAAACACACTCAATGAGGTGGGACTGTGATGGGTGCTGGGTGCTGTGATGGATGGGGTGGTGGGTGCTGTGCTGGGTGATGGGTGCTGTGATGAGTGATAGGTGTTATGATGGGGTGCTGGGTGCTGTGATGGATGTTGGATGCTATGATGAGTGATAGGTTCTGTGATGAGTGATGAGTGCTGTGATGGGGTGATGGGTGTTGGGTGCTATGACGGGGTATTGTGTGCTGTGATGGGTGTTGCATGCTGTGATGGGTGTTGTGTGCTGTAATGGGTGCTGGGTGCTGTGATGGGTGCTGGGTGCTGTAATGGGTGCTGGGTGTCGTGATGGGGTTCTGGCTGCTGTGAGGGGATGATGGGGCAATGGGCGTTCGGTGCTATGATAGGTAATAGGTGCTATGATGGGAAGCTGGGTGCTATGATGGGGTGCTAGGTGCTGTGATGGGTTGCTGGGTGCTATGATGGGGTTATGGGTGCTGTGCTGAGTGCTGGGTGCTGTGATGATTGATGGGTGCTGTGATGGGTACTGGGTACTGTGATGGTGTGCTGGGTGCTGTGATGGGGTGATGCCGAGGACCAAGGGCTTCCCTCCTCAAGGCTGCTCCTCTACACTGAGCCACACCCCAGCCCCCGTGGGGTCTGCTCTGCCTCTCCCAGGGTGCCCAGTACATCCAGATCATGGAGCCCACAGCATGCCTGCACCCGTCTCAGCACTTTTGCAGAAAAGAATTCCACATCTCTCTGTGCCCTGCTTCCCTGCTGGTGACATCCGAGAGATGAGTTGCCCCAGGAGCTGGGCTCTGCGGCATGGAGGGCTAAGGGTGGCACACAGCCGGCCCAGGTGTGGACACTCATGCCAGTGTTTTGGGGTGTTTAGAAGTTCCTGATGTCGACCAAGTACAACAAGGACTCCAAGATGTACCACGCCATCCAGACGGTATTCGGGGAGAGGTAAGGGCAGGGGTGGGGCCACAGTACCTGTGGCCAGGCAGGGGTGAGGGCCCAAGGGTTGCAGAAAGGCCTGGCCAGCAGGACAGCCCCTGCCATGAGGGGAGTCATCTCTCTTGTCCCTGTTCCGCCGGCTGGCAGGTTTGTATCTGCAGTGTAACTTGTGGTCACCCCAGATCCCTTCCACTGATTCTATTTTACTGTGGCAAGAACCACAGGATGCCCCCACTCATCCCCTTCCCCTGGTGAGCCAGTGCCACCATCCCCCACGGTTCAGTTCCTGAATATTCTTGTCCCCCAAAGTCTGCCCCTCTTCTGCCCATGTGTCACACCCTGCTTGTTGCCTGCAGACTCTTCGGCCAAGGCCTGGTGTCCGAGTGTGACTACGAACGGTGGCACAAGCAGCGCAGAGTCATGGACCTGGCTTTCAGTCGCAGGTCAGTGACGCGGGGTGAGGGGGCTGCCCCGGGTCGGCCCCCTGTGCCGCTCTCCCTGTGTACACAGTGTCCTGGCACTGGTGTTGGTGAGACTCAGTGGCCACCCGCACAGTCATCCTTAGATCCCATCCACCCTCCCGGCGCAGCCAGCATCACAGCCCCCAGGAGCTTCCTGCTCTAGGCCTCAGAGCAGGTGGCGCCCAGGTGGTCATGTGACTTTGTGCCCTGACCACTGAGCTCCACAGCCTCCTGGTTCTCCTCTCAGCCCTGGGGCACCTGCTGTGCCTGACTGAGTGGGGACCACGCGGGCATGTGCTCCAGGCATGGTGGCCACGATCTACCTCCTTCCGGTGTGCCCCAAGGAGGGAAGATGGGAACAAGATGGAACATTCTAGAAAGGGCTCCTTTCTTGAGGGGGCAGGGCACAGGGCTTCCCCCTGGCTCTGCACTCAGAGATCACTCCTGGAGGGGCTCAGGGCACCAACTGGGGTGACGGGGATTGGACCCATGCTGGCTGCGTGAAAGGCGAGTGCCCTGCCCGCTGTTCTAGGAAGGGCATCTTTCACTGTGATTTTCTTTCAAATTCACTGAAAACGCCAGCGTCTTCTAAAGGCCCCTGTGGACCCTCTGCCCACACTCACCGCTTGCTTATTCTTTAGGCCCCAGTGCTTTTAGCCACATTTCTTTTGGGGGTGTCTTCAGAAATAGATTTATCATTATCTCCCTGTGTGTATGTGCCTCGTTTCATTGTATTTTGAGGGGTTTGGGCCACACCCAGGGGTGCTCAGGGATCACGCTTGGCGAGCTCAGAGGACCTTACAGGGTACCAGGGATCGAACCTGGGTCAGCCACCTATAAGGCAAACACCCTCCCTGCTGCGCTATTGCTCTGGCCCTTGAACTTGTATATATCGAGAGAGAGAGAGAGAGAGAGAAGGAGAGAGATAGAAAGAGAGGGAGAGAGAGGTACAGAGAGGGACAGAGAGGGACAGAGAGGGAGAAAGGGGGTAGAGAGAAAGGGAGAGGGAGAGGAAAGGATAGAGGGAAAGAGAGATAAAGGGAGTGGGAGAGAGGGAGAGGAAGAGGAAGAGGGAGGGAGATAGAAGGAGAGAGAGGGTATTAGAAGGCATCCAAGGCATTGACCCTCCCTGTGCTCCCTGAGAGCAAGGACAGTCTCCTAGAAGCACAGTCACCTGGTGGGGCTGTCCCGGTGACCCAGCACCGAGCCTGGATTCTCTGTTCGCTGTGGTCACAGCCGCCGCCTGACCCGTGTCGTGGCCTCGCTGCCCGCCTCCTTCCCACGGCTCCGTCCCCTCAGGGTGCTCTGATGCTGGAGCTTCTGCCGCGGTGTCTGCTCCCCAGCTGTGCTCCCGTTATGGGGCGTGTGTGCATGCGTGCGCATGAGTGTGCGCGGAGCCGTGCGTGTGTATGTGTGCATGCATGTGCATGGGGCCGTGCGTGTGTGTGCATGCGTGTGCAGGCGTCTGTGTCCGGGGCGACGTGGCCCGCTCAGCCATCTCAGGGACGGGCGGCTCCATTTGTCCCTTGGCCGGGTGCTGTCCGTGTCGCTGGTCCAGCTGGGCTGTGCCAGGCCTCCCCGCTGAGGTTCCTGCCTAGAATGTGGACCAGGACGGGGCTCAGGGCCACGGAGCAGGCGTCGGGGTCCACTTGCGGCCCCACCACAGAGAAATCAAAGAACACAGTCGCAGCCTTGGCATTTGAAGTCAGGGAGCGTGAGGCGGGCAGGCGGGAGGGAGGCTTGCCCAGGCCATAGACCCTTGCACCCCTCCGGCTCCCAGTTCCCACCTCCAGCCCCCAGCTCCCCACCACTCTGGCCCCCAGTTCTGCCCCTCTGGCCCCCAGCTCCACCCCTCCAGCCCCAGCCCCGCCCCTCCGGTCCCAGTCCCTCCCCTCCTGCCCCCAATTCTGTCCCTCTGGCCTCCCCAGTTCCACCCCTCCAGCCCCAGCCCCAGCTCCGTCCCTCCGACCTCAGCCCCGCCCCTCCGGCCCCAGCCCCGCCCTTCTGGCCCCCAGTTCTGCCCCTCCAGCTCCGCCCCTCCGGCCTCAGCCCCACCCCTCCGGCCCCCAGTTTTGTCCCTCTGGCCCCCAGCCCCGCCCCTCAGGCCCCAGCCCCGCCCCTCCGGCCACCACTTCTGTCCCTCTGGCCTCCCTAGTTCCGCCCCTCCATCCCCAGCCCCGCTTCTCCAGCCCTAGCTCCGCCCCGCCTACCTCCGCCCCGCCCCTCCTGCCCAGCCCCGCCCTTCTGGCCCCCAGTTCCGCCCCTCCGGCCCCCGGTTCTGTCCCGCCGGTTCTGTCCCTCTGGCTCCCAGTTCTGCCCCTCCAGCCCCGCCCCTCAGGCCCCAGCCCCGCCCCTCCGGCCCCCAGTTTTGTCCCTCTGGCCCACAGCCCCGCCCCTCTGGCCACCAGTTTTGTCCCTCCGGCCCCAGCCCCGCCCCTCCGGCCCCCACTTCTGTCCCTCTGGCCTTCCCAGTTCCGCCCCTCCATCCCCAGCCCCGCTTCTCCAGCCCTAGCTCCGTCCCGCCTACCTCCGCCCCAACCCCTCCGGCCCCGCCCCGCCCTTCTGGCCCCCAGTTCCGCCCCTCCAGCCCCGCCCCTCCGGCCCCAGCCCCGCCCCTCCGGCCCCCGGTTCTGTCCCGCCGGTTCTGTCCCTCTGGCTCCCAGTTCTGCCCCTCCAGCCCCGCCCCTCCGGCCCCCGGTTCTGTCCCTCTGGTTCTGTCCCTCTGGCTCCCAGTTCTGCCCCTCCAGCCCCGCCCCTCAGGCCCCAGCCCCGCCCCTCAGGCCCCAGCCCCGCCCCTCCGGCCCCCGGTTCTGTCCCTCTGGTTCTGTCCTCTGGCTCCCAGTTCCGCCCCTCCAGCCCCAGCCTCGCCTCTCCGGCCCCAGCCCCGCCCCTCCGACCCCAGTCCCGCCCTTCTGGCCCCCCAGTTCCGCCCCTCTGCCCCCAGCCCCGCCCCTCCGGCCCCAGCTCCCCCCTCGGAGCAAGCTGCAGTGCGTGGCAGGGTCAAGTGTAGCGACTTCAGGACACGCAGCCAGGCAGTGCCCTGAGCCCAGGACGCCCACAGTGATGCACCTGTGGATAGGGGGATGCCTCCCACCTGCGCCTTGCGCTCAGCCTCCTCCTGGCCTCCCTGACTCCGACTCTTCTCCCCTCCACGCCCACTGCCCCAGAGAGCTCCTGGCCCGCAGCCCCTCCCGCGCAGAGGCGCCCAGTCTGGGGGGTCCCCAGCTCCCTCCCGTTCCTCCTTCCTTTTAAGCCTGACCCCAACTGTCTGTCCAACAGAAAGCCTGACCCTCGTATTGGGGCTCCTGACAGGAAAGGTATCTCTGTGAGGTGATCTGTCCCGAGTAAATGAAAACACGAACACATCTCGCTCTCACTGGACCCCTGTTGCAGCACTTGGGGGACACTCGGGATCACCGTCCTGCGCTTTCTCTGCCCCTGGCTGTGAGGTCCAGGGCGGGCTGCTCCTGGGGCTCTGGGCTGGGCTCACCTCCATGGGGGTGGCTGGACAGGGCTGGGCTGGAGGAGCCCCAGGCCCTGCCCTTCCCACACCCACCCATCCCTAGAGGGGAGACTGGGGGACTCAGAGCAGCCAGAACCCCCAGGATCCCATTCTGAGCGGCCAACCCAGAGCTGAGTCTGAGTCGCCAGCGCCTGGCTGGGAGGGCGCCACCCCCGGCCTCCACCTGAGGCTACTCAGGCCAGCGCTGCCCCCCAGCTCCCTGGTCAGCCTGATGGAGACGTTCAATGAGAAGGCCGAGCAGCTGGTGGAGATCCTGGAGGCCAAAGCGGATGGGCAGACCCCGGTGTCCATGCAGGACATGCTGACCTGCACTGCCATGGACATCCTGGCCAAGGTGAGCGGTGTGGGCAGGGTGTGGGCAGCGCTGGCCTCTCTGTCCCCCTGTCCTCGCTCCCCAGGGCCAGCAGCTCCACAGCCCGGGGCCAGAGTGGACAGTGGGGGCTGGGAGCCAGGCAGCGGGGCAGCCCCCCATGGACACCAGCGTGTCGGGTCACTGGGCACGGTCGGGACTCTGAGGTCTCCAGGACGCCCACGGGGGTGGTGCCCGCGGGTTGTAGGAAAGAGAAGGCGACGTGACGTGGGGGCCGTGGGCTCCGTCCTGCCCCCGCTGGCCTCCCGTGTCCTCTCTGTGAGCAGGCCGCCTTCGGCATGGAGACCAGCATGCTGCTGGGCGCACAGAAGCCTCTGTCCCACAAGGTCAAGGTCATCCTTGAGGGTATCTCCGCCTCCCGCAACACCCTGGCCAAGGTACATGGGCGCATGGAGAGCTCACTGCGTCCAGCGCTGTCCCTGGCCCTTCCCCCTCCCTTAGGGGAGACTCTGAGCCGGGGGGCTTCCCGCCGCCCATCCATCGTGGACACAGACCCCGGAGCCAGGGATCACGGAGGCTGCATAGACCAGGTGTCCCCCATGCCTTGGCCCTCCTGGGCTCTGGTCTCTGGCACGTTGCCTCATTGTCCTAAGAAGGCTGCTCCAGCTCCGGCTCTCACTTCTTTCTTCCAGTCGTGAAGAAGGGAGTGGAGGAAAGGGCACTGAATTTGTTACCGCTGCCCTAGGACCCCCTCGATGTCACCCCCCTTTGTTAGCACTTGATCTCACTGCCCTTTCCTCTTGGCTGTGGGGGTCCTCCTCACTGAGCACCGCCAGAACCAAAATATAAAAAGTTCTATTCTTTTCTGGAAAGCTGGTGGGTTGGCAGAAGCCGTCACCTGGGCCCTGCCTGCCCTTTTGATCCAGTTCTCCCTGGCTACTTCATCTTTTCTAGAACATTCTCACTTCTTCCTGCCTCCCTGCAGGCTGGGGCCTCTGTGCATCTTTTTTTTTCTTTTTGGGTAACACCCGGCGTTGCACAGGGGCTACTCCTGGCTCTACACTCAGGAATGACTCCTGGCGGTGCTCAGGGGACCATATGGGATGCTGGGAATAGAACCCGGGTCGGCCGCATGCAAGGCAAATACCCTACCCGCTGTGCTATCACTCCAGCCCGCCTCTGTGCATTTTCAGCATCTTCTCAGAGCTGCCACCTCCCCCCTGGAGCTGGGGGTGGGCACAGAGCTGCCCCCTGCCCCCTAGGGCTGGAGTCCGGGTACCAGATGCCCCCTGCCCCCTGGAGCTGGGGCCGGGCACCAGGGATGCCCCTGAAGCTCATCTCTGTGCAGTTCCTGCCAGGCCACTGGAGGCAGCTTCGCGAGACGCGGGAGAGCGTGCGGTTCCTGCGCCAGGTGGGCAAGGACTGGGTGCAGCGCCGCAGGGACGCCCTGCAGCGGGGCGAGGACGTCCCGGCCGACATCCTCACGCAGCTCCTCAAAGGTGGGGACCCCGGGGGTGGGGGCGCGGCGCCCACGCCAGGCCCAGCCCGGGTGCCTGTGCACGGAGCGAGCCCCGCCTTGTCTTTCAGCGGAAGAGGGGGCGCAGGACGACGAGGTTCTCCTGGACAACTTCGTCACCTTCTTCATCGCTGGTTGGTAGTCTGAGGGGGCTTGTGTGATATCTGGGGACTTGGGGCTCAGCCCCCCAACACACATTTGAGCAGAGCACTGGGGCGCACCCACGCCCTCTCCACTTGGTGCTCTCTGGACGGCCCTGCTGGGGATGGTGGAGCCGCCCGAGGTGGGGTGGGGGGCTCGGGAGATCCTGGCCGTGTGGTCCCCATCACTTGGGGTTTGGGGGGGTTGCACAGTGGTTGCTAAATGACCTCATTATTCACCAGCTCTGTTGGGTTTGCTTTGGTCTGGCAGCTACTCCTGGCAGTGAGGGGGTTACTCCTGGCTCTCTGCTCAGGGGGGTCACTCCTGCTGGTGTCCGGGGGACAGGCCGTGTGGGGGCAGGCCCGGGGTCCCCCGCGTGTGAGCCTGCATTCTGCAGCGCTGGCCATCTCTCCCCATTTGCTCCGGCCTGGGGTCTGGGCCTCGCTGAGGGTTTCTGGGGGCGGGACTCTTCAGTGGGGTTTGTGACTCTTTTTTTTTAATTAATTAATTAATTTATTTATTTTGCTTTTTGGGTCACACCTGGCGATGCACAGGGGTTCCTCCTGGCTCTGCACTCAGTAGTTACTCCTGGCAGTGCTCAGGGGACCATATGGGATGCTGGGAATTGAACCCGGGTCGGCCGTGTGCAAGGCAAACGCCCTACCTGCTATGCTATCCCTCCAGCCCCGGGGTTTGTGACTCCTGTCGCTGCCGTCCTTTGGGGTTAATGGGCACTTCCTCCTCCTCAGGACGTTCCCTTTAATCTGGCTCGGGTGTCTCATTGTCCAGTGTGGAAAGAAGCCACTGTCTGCCCTTTGTCCACGGAGCTTAGGGCAGGCAGGAGGGCACCCTGGCTCGCAGGACGGCCTCAGTGTCTGGCCCAGGAAATTCCTCACACTTCCTGACCCCAGGGGTGCCTCCCCCTGCAGGCAGTCCTCTATGATTGCTCAGGATCCCCCCAACCCATGACTTCTCTCTGGGGCGGTTCCGTGTGGTCCAGTCCCCTGTGAGCGAGGCTCTGTGCCCAGGCTCGCCTGGGCATCCCCGAGAGTGACCGAAGGAGCGAGTGAAGCAACTGAGGCAGGGCACACAGTCTCAGGCCCCGCACAGGAAGTTCGTGTGGAGTGCAGTGCTCATGGCGGGGCACCCGGGGGTGGCCCTTGTGGCCGGGAATGCCATTTACTCCCGGGGCCTGGGTGGGATCAATCTGCCCACAAGAGTGTAGCCTCGATCTCTGCACCCCAACACCTCGGGATCCCAGGGGTGCAGGCTCCCCAGGCCCTTCCCAGTGGGGCTGAGCCACCCTCCTCCATGCTGCGGGCCGCGGGTCATGCCCTAGACCCCCGCTGTCCACTGCGGACCAGATCAGCGGCCCAGCGTGGTGGGCCTGGTCACCGGGGGTGTCTGTCACACGCTGGGAGAGCCTGCCCACACTTCCCTCCTGAGCCAGGGGGCATGAACAGTGCCCAGAGGGGCTGCCCTGAGCCCACCTGGGATGGGGGCCAGTAGGAGCAGAGCTTGGGGGGCGGTCGCAGCTGCCCCCACCTACCAGGCCTTCTCCCCGCAGGTCACGAGACCTCAGCCAACCACCTGGCGTTCACGGTGCTGGAGCTGTCCCGCCAGCCCGAGATCATGGCCAGGTATGGGGGTGTGTGGGTGAGGGGGTCTCTCTGGCCACTGGGGCTCTCCCTGCCTCAGCCCCTCTCCTGGGAGGGCTCTCCCTGCTTCTCTGCTGGAGGACTCCCACCCCCGCTCCCCCTCCTCCCTGCTCCTCCCTCTCTGTCTCCCTCCCCCTTCCCTTCTCCCAGGACCTCGCAGTGGCTGCTGCCCAGTCCAGCACATTCATCTGTCCCCTGCCCGTTATCCCTCCAGCTCCTCCCCAAAGCCCTTCCTTAGTGGACCCCGAGTCAGGGGCCTTCCTTTCTGAGGGTAGGGGCACACCTGATGATGCTCAGGGCTGACTCCTGGTTCTGTGCTCAGAGATCACTCCTGGCGGGGCTCAGGGCACTGTGTAGGATGCCAGGGACGAAGCCTGAGTCCGCTGCACGCGGGGCCAACACCCCACCCGCATGCAGGGCCGACACCCCACCCACATGCGGGGCAGATACCCTACCCGCTGTATTATCTCTCTGGCCCTTTTCTGTTTTCTGAAGAATTTTGTATTGGGGAGTCAGAGAGATGTATAGGGTTAAGGCACTTGCCATGTCCATGACAAACCCGGGTTCAATCCCTGGCACCACATACAGCCCCCCCAAACCCCCCCAAGAATGATTCCTTAGACAGGATGTGACCCTCAAACCCAAATAATAATAATCACTTGATCACTTGATACCCCGTTACTCATCGATTTACTCGAGCGGGTGCCAGTAACGTCTCCATTCATCCCTGTTGCGTGCTAGCATAGCCCAATGGCATCTGCTCGTTCTAGGAACACACAGAGCCTCATACCGATTATTCAGGGTCTTGATGAAGAAGTCTGACCATCTCGTAGGTGGGCGTCCACGCGATCTTTTGACGTCCCGTGGAATCCAGTCAGTAATGGCTCTAGTCCAGCGGTCGTCTCTAAACCTCATTACTTGTCCAGCCCATCTGATTTTTGATGCCTTGGCAAATGAGACAGCGTCCCTGATTCTTGAGCGTTGGCGGAGATCGGAACTCCGGATTCTACTTCTCATTTGAGTGAAGCGTGATACTCCAAGCATAGCTCTTTCGATTCCTCTTTGAGAGACCCAAATAACGTTCTCATCCTGTTTTCGTAGGGCCCAGGTCTCTGAGGCATATGTTAATGCAGGAAGAACAGTGGAATTAAAATAAAATTTTATTTTATTCTATTAAAACCAAATCATATTTATTACAGTATCCAAATACTAATTATAGAAAAGTTAAAAATACAGAAATAGAAATTAGTGATAATATTTACAGTGTTTGAACATTCATAGGCACAGTTAAACCTTTTTTTCCTGATATATTATTGCTTTAACGGGCTGGAGCAATAGCACAGTGGTAGGGCGTTTGCCTTGTGCATGGGCGGCCTGGCTGAGCTGGCTTCGATTCCTCCGCCCCTCTTGGAGAGCCCTGCAAACTACTGAGAGTATCTCACCTGCACGGCAAAGCCTGGCAATCTCCCCATGATGTATTAGATATGCCAAAACACAGGAAAAACAAGTCTCACAATGGAGACGTTACTGGGCCCGCTCGAGCAAATTGATGAACAACGGGAGGACAGGACAGGATACATTTTGGGTCACACCTGGCAGTGTTCAGGGCTTACTCCTAGCTCTACTCTCAGGAGTTACTCCTGGCGGTGCTGAGGGACCATATGGGATGCCAGGAATAGAACATGGGTCAACCGCGTGCAAGGCAAACACTATCCACTGTAATAATTTTTTTCATTTGTTGTTTTCAAGGGCTGGAATGATAGCAAGGCAGTTAGGGCGTTTGCCTTGCACGCGGCCCACCCGGTTGGCCCAGGTTCGATTCCTCCGCCCCTCTTGGAGAGCCCAGCAAGCTACCGAGAGTATCCCACCCGCATGGCAAAGCCTGGAAAGCTCTCCGTGACGTATTCAATATACCAAACATAGTAACAACAAGTCTCACAATGGAGACATTACTGGTGCCCGCTCGAGCAAATTGATGAGCAACAGGAGGACAGTACAGTGCAGTGCTGTTTTCAATACTTGGCAGTGCTCCGGGCTGCTCCTGGCCCAGTGCTCAGGGGCCACTCCTGGCGGTTCCCTAGGGTGCCCAGGTAGAAGGTGGGCTCTCCTGCACGCAGATGGGTGCACAGTCTTCTGAGCCCCTCGGCCTGCTCTAAAGACAGATGGACACCCTGTGTGGCTGGATGTGCCATGGTCTCTGCCACCAAGAAGCAGAGCGCCCGCTTCCCACATGGCGAGGCCCCGCCCCCGTGGGAGCCCCGTGCACCCCCACAGCACCCATTCTCATGGCCCCGCGGGCCTCCTGGGACCCCCAGCACTTGGTCTCTGTCTTCTGTCCGTGTGGCCTGTGGGCTGCGTGACCAGGCTCTGCATGCTGCATGTGCTGGGTTCTGCAGGTGAGTGCCAGAGCGACAGTCCAAGGCGCCCCGTGTGGAGGGGCGAGGATGGGGTGACAGGCCACCCAGTGCATCTTCCCAGTGCCCCCCAGACCAATGTGGGGGGGGTCTGTCCTCGGAGGACAGACGGGCTTCATCCGATCCACAGGCTGCAGGCTGAGGTGGATGAGGTCATCGGCTCCAAGAGGCACCTGGACTATGAGGACCTGGGGCGACTCCAGTACCTGTCCCAGGTATGGGGGACCTGGGGTGATTCTAGTACCTGTCCCAGGTATGGGGGCCTGGGGCAACTCCAATACCTGTCCCAGGTATAGGGGGTCCTGGGGCGACTCCAGTACCTGTCCCAGGTATGAGGGGTCCTGGGGATACTCCAGTACCTCTCCCAGGTATGGGGGCCTGGGGCAACTCCAATACCTGTCCCAAGTATAGGGGGTCCTGGGGCGACTCCAGTACCTGTTCCAGGTATGAGGGCCTGGGGATACTCCAGTACCTGTCCCAGGTATGGGGGACCTGGGATGATTCCAGTGCCTGTCCCAGGTATGGAGGGGTCCTGGGCAGACTTAAGTACCTGTCCCAGGTATGAGGGCCTGGGGATACTCCAGTACCTGTCAGGTATGGGGGGTCCTGGGGCGAGTCCGGTATCTGTCCCAGGTAGAGGGGGCCTAGGGAGATTCAGCAGCATTGCTGCTGGCTTGGGGTGACACAGCACCAGAGTCTTTGGGGCCCCCCCTCAGTGTGGGCTCGTGTTCAGGCTTCCTGACCCTGTGTGTGAACCCGGAGTCATCCTGACACCTCCGAACCTTTCACCCCTGCAGGCATCCTCAGGGGGAGATAAACCGCCCCCCTCACCCTCACCCTGCCAGGCTGCCCAGCTGTGATACTGACTTGGGGGCGGGAGGCACCCACACTGTAGGGGCACCCGGTTACCCCATCCCACCTGGGTGGGTTCAGGCCTGGGGTGACCGTCTCCCATCCCCGGTTCCAGGAGTGCAGACCCCCAGCTCAGAGATGGTGTCGCAATGTTTGGTGCTGAGGGAGGCCCTATCTAGCCCCTTCTTCCCAGCCTCAGTTTCCCTTTCTGTCAAGAGGAATGGAGGTGTCCTCCCCCGGGGACCCTGTCAGGAGGGTGCCCCCTGAGCCCCCTTCTCTGCACCATGGCCTGGGCAGGTGCTTAAGGAGTCCCTGCGGCTGTACCCGCCGGCGTGGGGCACCTTCCGCCTTCTGGAGGAGGAGACGCTGATCGACGGGGTGCGGGTCCCCAGCAACACCCCGCTGCTGGTACGTGCTGCCGCCCCCGAGGGGCCCTGCTGACTGCTCTGGTCTGGGGCTGACGCTTCCTCTGAGGTCCCACCAATGTGGGACACAGCAGGTCAGATGCGCCCCAGGGCAGAGCCCCGATGGCTGGACAAGTTCTGTGCTGTTTGCTCAGAACACACCCCCCATGGCCTCTGCAGCCCCCGCACCCCAGAACGGCCACGACCTACCCAGCAGTGAGCGCCCCGCCCTGGACAGGGTGACGCTTTAGGACAGTGTGGACAGAGCCACCGCCCAGGCGCTAGAATGACCACAGGGTAGCAGTAGCACTTGAGGGCCCTTGTGGACTTGAAGCAGGTAGATTTCCGGGGCGGGGGCGGGGGGGACACTGTGTCATATTTTTTTCTTTTTTTTTCTTTTTGGGTCACACCCAGCATTGCATAGTGGTTACTCCCGGCTCATGCACTCAGGAGTCACTCCTGGAGGTGCTCAGGGGACCATATGGGATGCTGGGAATCGAACCCGGGTCAGCTGAATGCAAGGCAAACACCCTACACGCTGTGCTATTGCTCCAGCCCCACTGTGTCATTTAAATTTTATTTATTTATTTATTTATTTATTTTGCTTTTTGGGTCACACCCGGGATGCACAGGGGTTCCTCCTGGCTCTGCACTCAGGAATTACTTCTGGCGGTGCTCAGGGAACCATATGAGATGCTGGGAATCGAACCCCGGGTCAGCTGCATGCAAGGCAAATACCCTACCCACTGTGCTATCACTCCAGCACCCCCATTGTGTCATTTTTAAAGGGGGGCATTTGGCCCAGTGAGTGTGGGCATCTCTGCTCCAGATTCTCTTTCCAAACGCTCTGTGGGGTGCTTTGCCCGTGGCTTAGCTGCCAGTGTCCTATGGGGGTGCAGCTTGGGTTGGGGGGGGTCTGCCACTTACCCGACCCTCGCTGCTAGGCTTCCTGCCCTGTCCCCATGCCACTGACCACTGCCTCACTGTTTCCTGAGTCCCACTCAGGTGCCCGCTGGCAGAGAAAGAAGAGTCGGTGCCCCCATCCCGCCCTCCTCAGGGCCCTTGGGTGCTCGACCCCCCCCCCCCAGCCAGGTCCGGGGAGCCCCCCTCTTGCTCTGCTCTTGCATTAGTGCTCCCCTAACAGGAGCGACTTAAATCAGTCGAAGTGAGCCCAGAGTTGTTGGGGGGGGAGGACTCCCCAAAGATCACTTGCTCCAAGAGAAGTCCCAGGAGGGTTCCTCTGGGCTGCAAAGGGCATTTAAAGGGCCAGTCAGGGGAGAATAACCCCCACCCCCAGGCCCGCTGGTGCGTGCCCTGCCTGCTGCCCGCATGCACAAAGGACCAGAGGGCGGGCACACCCATGCGTGTGGTGTGCTGGGCTGGTGGGCATGGGGTCGTGGTAAGGACTCAAGTGGCGGAGCACCGGCCTGCCGTGCATGGGCGACTCTCCTCTCGGCACTGCCTGCCGGACTGAGCACTGTGGGGGCGGCCCCAGGAGCACTCCCGGAGATCAGTGCGCATGCGTGCACATGCACGCAGCTGTGCTGGCAGTGCAGGGAAGGTGGGTTCGAATCCCGGCCCGGCAACTCCAGACAAGTTATGCCTCAGCCTGCGCCTCTGTTTCCCCCTCTGTATCCCCGGGGTCTCCCCTTCCTTCCTCTTCGGCTCTGGGGGCCCCGGGACCCCACCCTGGGTGAGAAGGGAGGGTGGGGTGGAGGGGGGTACCCGGCGGGAATAACGGGCCCCCTGCTCTGAATCACCCACGGGGTGCGCCCGTGCGGGGCCGGAGGCAAGCAGCGCGTTCGGCCGACAGTTCAGCACCTACGTGATGGGGCGCATGGACACCTACTTTGAGGACCCGCTGACCTTCAACCCCGATCGCTTCAGCCCCAAAGCCCCTAAGTAAGTGTCCTGCCCAGCCGGGTGGCGGGTGGGGGTGGGGGGACGGAGGGCTCTAGACTCCACTTACAGGGACCCCCTGAGCCCACACAGCCTTCCAGGTCACCAGGAAGCAGCTGGGACCCCCCCACTCGCCTCCCTTTCCCCGGGAAGGAAAACTTAGCTCAGAGAGGTCAGGGAACTGGCCCGCGGTCACACAGCTCAGGCGGCCTGGAGGCCAGGCTGGGTTGTCCAGGGCGTCCCGGGGAGGCGGCGCGCGTGCCCACCGCCCGCCGTCCGTGCCGTCCCCGCAGGCCGCGTTTCACCTACTTCCCCTTCTCGCTGGGCCATCGGTCCTGCATCGGGCAGCAGTTCGCGCAGGTAAGAGCCGGGCGGCCAGCCGGGAGGCGGCGGCCGCGCCCGCGCCCACGCGCCGTGTCCCCGCGCAGATGGAGGTCAAGGTGATCATGGCCAAGCTGCTGCAGCGGCTGGAGTTCCGCCTGGTGCCCGGGCAGCGCTACGGGCTGCAGGAACAGGCCACGCTGAAGCCGCTGGACCCGGTGCTCTGCACGCTGCAGCCCCGCGCCTGGCGGCCCGCGCCCCCGCCCCCGCCCCCGCCCTGCTGAGGGGCGCGCGCCCGCTCCACCCCGCAGCCGTCCATCCGCGCTGACGCCACCACCGCTCCCCCCGGACTGGGACCCCGGCTCGCCCCCACCGGCCCCCAGACCCGCCGCGCCCCTCCCACCCCACCCCGCTCTTTGCACAGCCCCCGGCCCCCTCCCAAGACTGCCTAAATGCTTGCGTTAGCATTAGCCCGCCCAGGCATCACCACCTCCTCCAGCAAGCCCTCCCTGCTTCCACCCCCGGCCGGGCCAGGGGCTCCATCCTCTGTGCTCCCTCACTCACCCATGCTACCTCTAACACCACAACTGACCACACTGTCTCCTGAGTGTCTTGGGCCGGGGCACCTGGGATGGGCCCCCCTGGGATTCCTCCCTGGGCGCCCCGGTGCCCCAGGAGGCTGGCACAGAGGCGATGCTCAATAAAAGTGTGTTGACGCATGAACGAAAGGCCGGACCCAGCCAGGCTGCTTGGGTCTCTGCGGGCTCATCCGCCACGGGGGACGGCTGGGCTGTCCCGGGGCCCCCACCATGCACCCAGGCCAGAGCACTGTTCCCGGGAGGACCCTGAGTCGGGGCCCCCAACCTCTGCGTCTGCACCACACCCGGTGGCAACCGGGCAGTTTGTCTGGAGATGGCCTTGGAGGCCGGAACCCTGAATGACACTAGGGTCCCTGATGCCCCCATGTGACTTCACGCGTGGGGGTTGCCCGGGGGTCTGTGGGGAGGCCCGGGTGGTGGCTGGTGGTAGGACTTCCCTCCTGGCCACTCTGCAACTCTCCCTCATATTCGGGGGCCCTGGGAGCAGAGACCCCCAGGGGCCCAGCGGGGACAGACCTTTTCCTGGCCCCCTTCAGCGCTGGGAACTGTTGGGAGAGAACAGAGGGGCCGGGGAGTGGGTACAGCGGGGAAGCCCTTGCCAGGGGTGTGACCCCGGCTCAGGCACCACCAAGAGTGACCCTTGAGCACAGGGGACTGAGAGGCGTGACCCCGAGGAAGTGACTCTCAGCAGTGGCCTTTCCGAGCAAGGCGGCTGGTTCTCAGGCCCGCGGCCACCGGGGTCACCAGGACGCTGGGAACTGAAGCCGATCCCCCCCAGACCCCCGCTTGCTAAGGATAACGCCGAGCCCGACGTCCTGCAGCCGAGCCTACGCGGCAGAGAGGCCCAACCGCACCGGTTCCGATGAACTGGCCTCCGTTCCCGACCCGTCAGAGGGGCCCCAGGCTGGGCTTGGTGGGAGCAGCGGACCCCAGCGCACGGGGGCTGGCGCCGGTTCCCGGGCCTCCGGGGAAGGTGCAGTTCTCAGAGGAGCCACACGGTGGCGCCCGCGTCGGCGGTCGGGCCCGCGGGTCTCCGCGTCGGAGTGGGCCCTACCTGCGCGGCCCACGGAAGGGCAGGAGCTGTGGGGAGGGGGCTTCACGCGGACGGACGGAGTGGAGGGGCAGCCTCGGACGCGGGCCGGGAGCGGGGAGAGGGAGAGGGAACGACCGGAAGGTGGGCGGGGCGGGGCGGGGGTGTGGCCGGCGGCGTGGTGGTGGGCGTGGCCTGATCGGGGCGTGGCGGCGTAGCAGCGAGTTGGGGCGTGGCACGGGTGTGTGGGCGTGGCTATGGGCGGGGCGAGACGGAGGGGTGGAGCCTAGGGTCGCGTGTCCGGCCTCCTAGGCGCAAGCTTGCGCTCTAGCCCAGGCGGACCGTGCAGCAGTCCGCTGACCACTGGCGGCGAGGGCCAGGCATGTCCCTGATGGGGCTACAGAGGAGTAGTGAGGCTCAGGCCGCTGGCTGTGCGTGAGGGGCGCCCAGCACACCTGCTGACTCTCAGTGGCTCTGCAGGCCGCGGCCCCGCCTTCTGACCCCAGCTTTCCTCTGCGTGGCCTCCCTCGTTGTAAACCTGGGCAGGGCAAGGTGGGGACATTGGCTTTAGGACCAGACCTTTCCCGTAGGAAAATCCCAGCCGGGACCTCCAAGTCCCCCATATCACATACATACACACACACACCGCACACACACACATAGCAAGACATCACACGTGCACACACATGACATCACACGTGCACACACCACACAATGCACCCAACCACAAAAACGCACTGCATGACATCACATGTCATCATATAGTATGTGCACATATCTCCACATATCACACATATGCACATATTCATAACACAACACACACCTGCACACACGTCACACAACCATGTGCATCTCACAGCTTTTGCAATGTGTGCACACGCCACACGCAAGTGCACCTATCACACATATATCACATGCATGTGTACACATCACATGTGCACAGGCACACACCATGCCTCCCACGATACACGCACACACAGCACATGAGAGCACAGACTCACGTGCACTTGCACCCTCCCTGCACACACGGGTGCCCAGCACTCCACATGCATGTACACATGCTCTCCGCAGTGCACATGTTTGAGCATGCATGTGTGCAGGCACAGGTGTGGCAGCATGACCCCTGGAGTGCTTCCCAGCACAACCCCACAGTGAGAGAGGAAGGGGCTGGGCAGGGACCGGAAGGGGAAGTGGCTGAGCAGCGCAGAGCAGGACAGGTGGTCAGCGGTGGCCAGTCTGGGGGACCTGGTGGGCAGACAGACACAGGTGACTGCGGGCTGGGGCAGGTGGTGCCAGGCCTCAGGCTGAGCCTCATCATGGCCCCTGTGGGTGTCACAGTCCCGTTGCCAGGTGAGAAACTGACAGGAAAAGGCAGCCCCCCTGCCCCCCAGGACACATCTGGACACTGTGCTGACCCTGCCTGGCCTTTCAGAAACACCAGGTGGGCTGGTGGGGCTCTCTGAGGACCCTGTTTGTCCACCTCTGGGCCTGCCCAGGACCCCTGGGCCTCCTGAAAGGGTGCTAAAAGGGGGGGGTCATGGGCCGTCTGTCCCCCGGGCTCCTGTCCTCAGCCCCCAGCACCCAGAGGGGAAGGTGCAGGTCACAGGGCTGCGATGTGGACTTACCACGTGCTCCGGGGTCACCTCTTGGGGGATATCCTGCTGCCCCGGCTGGGCCCAGGTGGGTTGAGACACGCTCAGAACAGCTTCAAGCAGAGGAGGCCCAAGGGGGTGTGACTCAGGGCCACAAAAGCAGGTGAGCGGGCGGATGCCTCCAGGTCTGCTGCTGCCGTCAGGAAGGAAAAGCCTGGGAACAAGGGGGGAGGCGCTAGGGAGTCCCCTCAGCATCTGTACTCAGGACCCTGCCCCCCTCAGCCCCCAGGCCCCCTGAACCCCGCCCCCCTCAGCCCCGTTTCCCTGAACCCCGTCCCCGTCAGCCCCATCCCCCAGAACCCCGCCCCCTTTAGCCCCCCAGAACCCCGCCCCCCTCAGTCCCATCCTCCTGAACTCACCATCCCCCTGCCCCACTGTCCCCCCAAGTCCTCTTCTGTAGTAGCCAACTTTGCCGCTTCCCGCTAACCCTCCCTAACCAACCCCACTCCCCATGGCAGCTGAGCCCCCAGAGACTGGTCTGGAGTCCCCAGGAGGGAGGCGGGTGGTGGGAGCTTTGGAATCTTTTTTTTTCCTTTTTGGGTCACACCCAGTGATGCTCAGCTCTCAGGAATCACTCCTGGCGGTGCTTGGGGGAACCACTTGAGATGCCGGGGATTGAACCCCGGTTGGCGCATGCAAGGCAGACGCCCTCCCCGCTGTGCTATCCCAGGCCGTGAAGGGGGCGGGGTCCCCACTTCAGAACAGACCCTGGCGAAGGCCCGGAACTGAGCATGCCGCTGGCAGGACCGCTGATCTCTCTGACGCCGGTGCCCACTGCAGGGGCTGTCTCTGGAAGGGGCTTCCTTCGGCAGCACGGCAACCCTAGGGGGCTGCTCCCCGCCCCTCGGCCTTCGGAGGCGCATGGACACATCAGTACCAGCATCTGTGCCTCCTCCAGGAAGCCTCTCCTGACTGCCTCTGCCTAAAAGACCTTTCCCCAGGATTGCACGTTCTCTCCGTGAGTCACCTCGCCTTTGACCCCAGGCGGGGACTCTGCCACTCTCCAGCCGAGCTTTCCGACCTCTTCCTTCTGCACCTCTTGATCTCTTCCTGGGGTGCCCACTCTCCCCAGAGAACCCCCTCGGAGATGGGACTCCATCTGGCCAGTACCAGCAGCCGCTGCCTCCTACGTCAGCCGCGTCCCTCAGCCTGGGCAGGGCTCTGGAAAGGGACAGAGCTGCCCTCCCTCCTCGACGCCCCCTCTGGCTCCGCACAGCCTACCCTCACTGGCCGGGGCCCAGGGTGGGCAAGCGGGCGGCTCTCTGGCAGGCTGACCAGTGGGTGATGCCTGGCCCAGGAGCGCCCGGGCGCCCACTGAGTGCCTGGACCCACCCCCTGGCACTCCCAGGGCTCTGCCCATCCCCCACGCTGGGCAGCAGCAGCGCGTGGCTTCTTGGTCCAGCAACTAGGCCAAGCGAGCGAGGGTCACACCTTCCCCTAGCCAGAGTCAGCGGCCACCCCCAGCCGGGGTGGCCTTGGGTGGGCTCTGAACTCATCTGTGACTTGGCAGGGGCCTCCCAGAGCTGAGAGTGATGACATCCGTGGGCGGCCTCCCCTCTGACACACGTGCAGCAGCGTGGGCGGGAGCCCTGCAGGAGACAGCATGCTGGCCTTCGGGGTGCCCACCCAGTGCCCAGGGCGGCAGCCGCTGCCCAGCCCGTATTCCCAGACTGCCCGGGAGGACCGGCGGGCAGGGAGTGCCCAGATTTATCCACCAATGGCGTGGCTTCCTGGCACTGCTCCTTATCTGTCCAGCCCAGCGTGGGGGTGGCCAGCAGGCTGCCCAGGGCGAGGCGCTGCCTGGGTGGGGACTGGACCAAAAGCCACCGCCGGCAGGCAGCGCCCAGCCCCATCCTGGGAGACGGTGCCGAGGGTCCCGAGCGTCCCCGCAGGCCACAGCAGCCCCCAGCATGTCGGACGGCGAGGGCCCCTCAGCCGGTGAGTGCAGCGCTATATTTACCCGCCCGGCTCTGGTTGCAGTGGACATGGGCCCACCACGCCGGGCACTTGGCCTTCGGGG